GATTCTAACTATCTTGAATGATAATAACTTTGTTTTCCTTTGATCAACAACATAAAAACAGTGAACCAAGGGCTTGCTACACTGGCATTCTTTGGGGTAGGGGTGAACTTGGTGTTGTTTCTGACCAGAGTGATGGGTCAAGACAATGCTGAAGCAGCAAACAATGTTAGCAAATGGACTGGTACTGTCTACATCTTCTCTCTCCTCGGCGCCTTCCTCAGCGACGCCTACTGGGGACGATACAAGACTTGTGCTATCTTTCAAGCAATCTTTGTCATCGTAAGCTACCATTTTTTGAGCATTTGTCATTATTCTAGTTTTCAGTTAACACGATACGATATGAACATGAAACACATATCGGTAATTATAACTTTTATAATTGTAATTGTTGTATATTATCATTAAATTTAGTATTAATGGTTTACTGATATACTGTTGAAAACCTATATACAACCAATATATGTAAGCTTTGCTATGAAGGTTTTTTTAATGGATTGTACATCTAAATTATCAAAAATATCACAAATATTTTTAAAATATTCAACTCGATCTCTTGTTGTCAGTTTTTAGATGGGTCGGGAATTTGATTGTAACAACATTTTGTAGGAGGGTTAAGTTCAATAAATGTCATGCTGAATAGTCAATTATTTTGATGTGAGCTTTGGCGTATGTCATGTATTCTAAATGTGTTTCCATGACAGGGTTTGGTATCATTATCCCTATCATCCTACATTTTCTTACTGAAGCCCAAAGGCTGTGGTGATGAACAAACTCCATGTGGCAACCACACAAGCCTCCAGATATCGCTTTTCTACGCGTCAATTTACTTAATTGCCCTTGGAAATGGAGGGTACCAACCCACCATTGCCACATTTGGGGCAGATCAGTTTGATGAAGACCACCCCAAGGAAGGCCACTCAAAGGTGGCTTTCTTCAGCTTCTTCTACTTGGCCTTGAACTTGGGGTCTCTCTTTTCCAACACAATCTTAGGCTATTTTGAGGATGAGGGCATGTGGGCACTTGGTTTTTGGGCATCCACTGGCTCAGCTGTGATAGCTTTGGTCTTGTTTCTTGCTGGGACTCCAAGGTATAGGCACTTTGTGCCCAAAGGAAACCCTCTCTCTAGGTTTTGCCAAGTTGTTGTTGCTTCAGCAAGAAAATGGAAGGTCCAAGTCCCAGTGAATGGAGAGGAACTACATGAAGAAGATGGAGATGAATTTGACAACAATGGGAGCAGAAAAATTCTCCATACCCAAGGATTTATGTAAGTTGTGCACTTCATAACCTAATTTTTTATGTCACATGACCGGGGGTGGCCCGGGCCTTAGACGCCTCGTGATGGCCTGGCCAGGGCCAGCTTGCCCAAAAACCTATAGATTGGATTTGGATTGGATAATTGATCAAAAAAGACTATTTCTTATTAAGCTATAGAATTTGGACGAAAATCTAATCCATTTACAAGTCTACTTAATATCATCTTTGTTTTTTTCATGGATGAAAAATATCTAACTCCTATTCATATTGTCAGGTTCTTGGATAGAGCAGCAGTAATCACATCAAAGGAGAACATCCATGAGAGCAAGGATAGGCCTAATTCATGGCACCTTTGCACTGTGACACAAGTTGAAGAAGTAAAATGCATTCTCAGACTTCTTCCAATTTGGCTATGCACAATACTGTACTCAGTTGTTTTCACTCAAATGGCCTCCCTCTTTGTGGAACAAGGGGCTGCCATGAAAACTACCATTTCAAGCTTCCACATTCCTCCCGCTAGCATGTCAAGCTTCGACATCCTCAGCGTTGCAGCTTTCATTTTTATCTACAGGTGAGTTATTGGCCAATTTGTCGATTGATCACAGAAGTATAAGCCTAGAGTACCACTCCACCATTTGCGCGGTGATCTTTTAGTGACAAACAGAAAAAAAAAACATGGCTAAAAGCACGAATTTTGGTGGTGAATTATTGTAGTAGAAGGCAAAAGTGGAAATGCTTTTGGCGATGAATTATTGTGGTAGTCTGGCAAAAGTGATTTCCTGACACTTGAAGGGACAGTTTTTTCCAGTTGTCGCTAAAAGTCGTGCCTAAAATGTTTGGTTAAAATGTTGACGACGAAAAGAAAGTTGTCGTGAAAAATAACTTTTGCTTTCATTTTCATCTGCAGGCGAGTTCTCGACCCCCTTGTTGCCAGGTTACGAAAGTCTAGTCCTACAGGCTTTACTGAGCTTCAAAGAATGGGAATCGGGCTTGTTATTGCGATAATGGCAATGATTGCGGCCGGTACTGTAGAGGTTTTCAGGTTAAAATACACACGACAAAATTGCTCCAACTGTGAAGGCTCGAGTTCTTTAAGCATTTTTTGGCAAGTCCCTCAGTATGTGCTCATCGGAGCATCCGAGGTTTTCATGTATGTTGGTCAATTGGAGTTCTTCAACAAGCAGACGCCCGACGGTTTGAAGAGCTTTGGCAGTGCACTGTGCATGACATCCATATCACTAGGGAACTATGTGAGCAGCTTATTAGTGACCATAGTCATTAAGATTTCTGCTACTGATAAAATGCCTGGATGGATACCTGGAAATCTCAACAAGGGTCATCTAGATAGGTTTTACTTCCTCTTAGCAGCTTTGACAGCAGCTGATCTAGTGGTGTACATTATATGTGCCAATTGGTATAAGTATATTAAGTTTGAAGGCAAGAATGGAGAAGACAATGGCGACAAGCACGGCGACTTGAGAGTCTAAGTAATACCAGTGTTGGATCCAAATCATTTCTAGTACACTTTCTCTCAATAGATCTCTCTCGGATGATCTACCATTGAAAAATTGAAAACTAAAGTGTATTAGATGTGATCTAAATTCAATAGCTTGGTTTTGCGTGCCATATGGTTAAGTGAATGGTGTAAGAAAATCGAAGTAAAGTAAATGTTGAAATCGATGTGAATGAGAAATAATGGTTGCAATGAGACTAGAGAAATACCATTGTAAATCTCTAAGTTGAGTGCCAGTGTTTTTTTTCCTTCTCTGAAAGTAACTAATGTAAACAAGCACTGCCTTATTCTGTATTAGTGGAATTTCTCTAATAAACATTTGTTATATTGTGTTTATTTCAACTTTGTCTTGCAAGCCAAAACCGTTATAGCACAATTGGTTATAGCACAATTGATTCATGCACGTGTGATTTTTTGCAATAATTTGAGATAGTTTATTCCAAGATGAGCTTATGTGAGATTCTTGAAACAAGGAATGAAATTAGAAAATGGCGGAGAATGTACCTGACGTATTCTCTCATAAATTTGAGTTAGTCGGCACTTAAGACTAAGAGGATAAGTATACAATACAAAACTAATTTAACAAGCATACTTGTGCTCAATTTTACTGGGGTATTATACCTTCTAATGTGGTGTTGTGATAATCACTTGAATACGTACAGTTTAGACTTGACAGTCTACAACCACCAAATTGTGCAATTAAGTGCAATAGGATGCAATTGGACATAAATGCTCAATGAGATTAAGTATTTATAACTTCTTGTCCCTTGAATACCACCTTGTTCTGAACGTAAAGTGCCTTATCGCTGTGCATTTATGGTTTCGTGCCAAACATTCAATTTGATATCCCCGAGTGCTATTCTTAGCTAACAAGGGTTATGCCTTTATTTTTTCGACAATTTTGATATCAGTAATGTCATACTGACTAAATTTTAAAATTAAATGAAGAGTTCAAATGACATGACAGTTGATTTAGACTTTTTTAATTAGTGTCATGTCATTTAGGTCTCAATAAAAATTTTAAATAATCAACTATCATGTTATTTGAACTCTTAATTTGATCCTAAAATTTGTTTAGCAAAATATTAAACTTTTGATATAGCTTATGAGTTAATGTGACGATAATAATTACTCTGCACGGCACGCTCTTTCCAAAGGCAATTAATTCTCGGGATCAACGGTGTGTATATGCATCCCTTGGTGGGTTATATTCACTCACATGACACACTTGTTAGTTGTGACTTGCCATGTGTCAATCTGTGATTGACAAGTCGCCCATATCTCTAGTACTATTGTGGAACAATGGCAACCAATTCTGGTTGTAATTCTGCTGACGATTGGATCAAACCACATGCATAATAGCAAAATCCCTTTTGCTACCCAAAGAAATATCTATGTACTTATTCACTTAATATGAATGCATAATTTTGATCGACCAAATTTATTGATCGACAAAATTTAGTATTTGCGAAGGTTGGATTCAAGATGAATTCCGATACCCAATGGAATTTATGATCAATCTAATAATAAAAGATATAAAGAATAAATCACACTTAAGCCTCATAAATTGTCTATTTTGTTACACATGGTTCTTTAAATTATTCACTTTCTTACAATGTGACTAAAACTATTTGTTTGAGTCTTACATTGTCCTAATTGTTGGCTTTTGTCCATTTTTTCAATACAAATCTATGAAAAAAATAGAGTTTTGCTCAACTTAAAAGAGAAAGAAACGTCTTCTAAGGTCTAACATTGTCGTTTTTATTTTGACTTTGCTTTGCTTTTCATGAAAAATTGGACAAAAAATAGCAATTGGGGCGATGCAAAACTTAAAATTAATAGTTCAAGGTATAATATGAGAAAATATATAGTTTAAGAGGAAATGTGCAACAAAGGGCATAGTTCAAGAATCTGTGTCATCTATTGATCTGAAATAATCACTCACGGCCATTTGGTTGATAATGGGTCACACTATTCGTTGCGACCCGATATTAATTCAATATTTATAATGAAATGGATCAGAAAATTAGGTCGTAAACCTCAGGGGAAATAATATATTTATGTGTTTTTTTTTTTTTTTGCTGGTTATATATTTATGTGTTAGCTTAAGGGTAGTTTGTGTAATTTATCTTAACTAATATAACCTCTTCTCCTTCTCCACTTCCTATCTCTCTCCTCTGAGACTTCTCAAAATCACCACCGACTCTTCCTCTACTCGGTTTCGAACTCGGCCATGTGGAGGAACTCACTGAGTTTCTCTTCCAGATTCATCTCCTCAGCAAACCCTAACCCTAACTCTAGAACCGCTCTCGTTTTCCTACGCATCTCCGCGCGTTATGGCCTCGAAAGATCGAATTCGACTAGCGCGAGTTCGCCGTCGTTTGCCACCGATCCATTGGAACTAGGGTTTCAGCAATCCGATTCGGTTCGGGCTTTCGGGTCCGCATCGTCGGCCACTGCGATTGATCCGACATCGTCTTGGCCGGCTTTGTCGGTTTTAAAGGCGAGGGATTTGGTGGACTTGACTAAGCATTATGGTAGGTGCTATTGGGAGTTATCCAAGGCTAGGCTCAGGTAATTTTTTAAAAAATTTGTCGGAGACTTAATTTATTTTTGTGGTAAGAAAGTGATTTGTTTGCTGATTGTTTGGTTTTTTTTTTTTCTTTTTTGGTGGCGTTTGTTGGGATTTTGGGTCCTGGGATTCGTAGTTTTTAGGTTATCGGCAGAGTTTTACGTTTTGGTATATGTGGATCCTGTTAGCAACTCTTAGAATTTTATGTGCTTTTATTTTGGTTAGTTGGTTGAGACCATCTATAACAATTGAATTTATAGGATTTGAGTTTTTCAATTGCGAAATTCAATATAAGTCCCCAAAATGAAAATAAAGACAACAAAGAAATTAGAAGGGGGGTCAAACTCCTTGTTCATGAATTGAATGAAAAAAAAAAGAATAAATGGATCTCTGGAAAAGAGTCTCTGATCTGGCACTGCAATTCTTAGTATTCTGATTGTTAATGTGGTTAGAACCATGAAGTTTCCTATGTGCTGATGAATTGTATTAATCAAGGACTGTAAAATTGATGTTGATTTAATACTAAGAAGATTCTAAATAGTTCAAGAAATTGAATTACATTGGTGTGATGAAGTATTTCGCTCAGACGACTTTTTTGGTTGAATTTTTTATTATTTTTCTTGTTATCAGAGAGTTCAGTGGGGATACTGTCTAATTGATGTATGCTTAAGATCATGATGATGGTGAGATGTACATAATGGAACTTTTTAAATAAGTTGGCAAGCTTATCAGGTTTATGTAAAATTTACTTTTACGGAAAAATAGTCAGTACCTATTACAAGCAAAAAGTTATCTGGGAATAAAATAATGGAGGAGCATTTGATAATTGAAATTGGTATATTTGGGTGATTAGATAACCGTTGATAGTTAATGAATAATTCAAAAAATTGTTATTTCCTTGTAACTGAGAGCATAGGTGCATGGCATTGGTATTGCTCTGAGCAGCCAGAAGTGTTTTGAGAAAGCAGATTGTTATGATCTACTCATTATGATTCCAAATACGACTCTGCCTTTAGTCGATTTTAATTCCGTTTTTACTGCAATAGTGGGTCCTTTTTTTAAAAATCTTTTTTGTGAAATAAGGCACATATGATGTGGTCTTATCTAGGTTCTTTGCAGTAAAAAGTTCATGGACAAACATCTCATAGGCAGTAGGTTACTTGCCCCAAAATTTAGGAATCTCAAAAGGAAAGGATGATACTACCAAGAGTTAATATAAATTAATTAAAAGAAGAATAAATATTCTATATACATTGAAAGGGTTAAAGAGATAATTAACGTGTGCCATAAGAGAGAAGACATCTTCCAACCCTAACAACTTGTTCATTATTTTTGCACACATGTAGAATATAGATGACAAGAATTGCTTCCCGAGAAGCAAAACATCTTTTTAGCAGGTGACAACATTCATCATTTTCGGTTTAGGTTGTGCCCTGTTTCAGCATTTTTTTGTTGTGCTTCTTTTTACAACGGTTTGATCTTGTGACCCCTATTGTTTCTACATGCTCATTTGGGTTTTATGTTCCTTAATTTTCTTATGATCGGTTTTGTATGATAGAAAATTGAAAAGATGAAAAGTAGGAGGGATCGACGAAACTTCATGTTTGGCTAGGAAGAAAGAGTGAATGGATTAGTCTTCCTTCCAACTAATCAAAATCTATCTCTTCAAATTGGATGAAAAAGTGAAAAGAAAGCTAATTTTGTGTGGTGAAATGTAAGTAATTTATCTTTATATCACTTAATCTATAAATATATCTTTTCAATCTATTACATATTATATATATATTACTTCTATATGTGGATAGATGGTCAAACATGTATGTACACTTTTTTCTTCCTTCCATTTTTTCATCCATAATTACATAAAAAAATGAATTATTCATATTTTTCATCACTTCTAGAAAACACAAATGAGGGAGAGAAGGTTTCTTTACTTGAATGATAGAATGTATAGCATTCTTAATTTTCTTTCTTTTATTTTTCCATCCATCCTACCTAACACACCATTAGTCTGATGTAAAAGTGGTGGAGGGTGAAGTTATTTCTGATGCATTAAATCTCACTTTTTTTTATACTACATTGAATCCAGCATGCTAGTGGTTGCTACTTCTGGCACTGGATATGTCCTTGGGAGTGGTGATGCCATTGATTATCTCGGGCTTTGTTGTACTTGTGCTGGCACCATGATGGTTGCGGCATCTGCTAATTCCTTAAATCAGGTTTGTACTTGGGCTAAATATAATTTCATCATCATGTTTGTTACAAAAATAATTAACATAAGTAGGTGCCTTATGTTCAGAACCTTGACAAAGGCATGCTTGAAGGCCAATTTTTGGAAACACTTGGCCTGTCTATTTTCATGTCTGACACTCAATTGCTATGTATATATTTTCCGTTGTGTCTGAATTCCATACGTGGAAGTTGAGGAATACTCTGTACTTCTAATCATCTTAGGGGGAAGATATGCAAGTTTGCGATTTGCGGCTGTGGATTTGAAGGCACACTAACATGCCTTCCATATTTTAATGATGTAATTGATGATTGGGGAAGGGTACACATGTTTCATGTAAACCATGAGCGCAACTTAGTTGAGTTATTTGAAATGTCCTGAGGCAATCACGAGTCATTCAAGTCATCGTTATTGAATCAATCGATACTGTCCTGTGATGTCGCAATATGATCTGAATCTCTTTTTATGTTATTCTGTCTAGTATTTCGGGTGCATTGCCCTCGTTACATGTTGCCGTTGACATTGCATCGTAGTGCCCTTCAAATTGATTGCCAGTACTGAGACCTTGAACCATGACCTTGATTGCGGCTCCATCGAACAGAAATTGATATGACTTCCACATGGACATGAAGTGTTTGCTTTGTAAGCTAGCATTTTGGACGGAAAACAAAACTTCTATTTGTAAAATATGCAAATGTAGACAACACCTTTGTTGATGGAGTGCGTGTCTTTGGGTTGGTGTCAAAGTCTAGACCCTAGAGTAAGCCTGTATTTACCATGTAATTGCGTATTGTAGGATGTGTGATATAACCCTTAGGGCTCATGAGCACACCTTCACAGAAGTAGTGGGCAGCCACAGAGGGAATAAAGTGTTGTTGTTCTGATGACACATGCGAAGAAACATGTTTTTTTTTGGAAGGGGTGTATGTGTGCGAGAGAGAGAATGGGAGAGGTTGCAAAGACAGACTGCCAAGCCTCTCACTCATTAAGGGAGAAAACGAGGGATATAGGGATAGGATAAGAGGAGCAGAAGTGTGCATCTGCAATTTCCGAGCCTCTCAATGCCATTAAAGAGAGAATAGAAAGAGAAAAGTGTAAGCGAAGGGAAGACAATGGGGGGTGGAAACGGGAAAGGGACAAGAAATAAAGAGTCAAGATCCCAAAGCTCTTCAATCTGAAATATTGTTCAATTTTGTGCGCTGCTGTGTTTTCCCTTTAGTGCTCTATTTGTAGGCTGTGCGAAACCATGAAAGACATCTTCAATATTTGATTTTGTCGGACGGACATAATAACAATATTAGCCCCAATATTTTTTTTTTGTAGAACACTTCAACTCTCCTGGAAGGAGATAACATAAACGAAAAAATCCTAATAAGAATAATCATGTAAGCTTGTTGCCCTTTCTCATCACCTAAACGAGAGTAAATGTTAGCATGTTAGGGTTTTAGTTTTTCTATATAAAGGGATGCATGTAAGGGTTTTATTTAGACTAAACTTTGATTATTATTACCAATATTGAATCCTAATATTGTTTCTTCCTCAAATTCTCTTTCTGTCTTCATTATTTTCTTCTTATTTTCTCACCCTAATTCTTTCCTACTACGATCTACATTAATTTGGTATCAGAGCTAATATGATCTACATCAATTTGGTATTAGAGTCCAACTTTGATTCGTACAAATCACAAAAAAAAAAAAATATTGTTCATCGCGACTGTGCTTGCACTGTTTTGTTCTCCATTGCTCTGTTATTGTTTTTCTTTCTTTTTGTTTTTGTTATGCTTGTTGTCGGAGCTATTCCCAGAATATCCAGGTGGAGGATGAGACATTCTAATATCAAGAACTCGTAGCAATGTGTATATAGGGATTCATAGGTCGCAACCCTAATTCAAAATAGAGAGTTGATAAAGATTCTAGATCTTGGGGTTTGATCCTTTGATTGAAGGCAAAATCAAAAAAATTTCAAGACCTCCAGTTTAGAATTTCCAGAAATTACAAAACACCCCAGAAAGGTCTAGAAAATTACAGAATCACCTCTATAAGTTTAACCAAATTATAAAAAAATCATCCAGAACTCTAGAATGGTAGAAACCTCCCCACCTGATTCAAAAAATTACAGAAACATCACCCTAGAAGTTCCAAAAATTACAGTGACACCCCAAAAAATTTAAATTTACAGAAACATCCCCAACAGATAAAAAAATTGTAGAATCGCTCCCATAAATTTTAGAAAATTTCAGAAATATCACCCCAAAAGTTTCAAAAATTGTAGAATCATCCCCAAAAATTTCAGAATTTTCTCTTGATTATGGTATGCATACTCCCATAAAAATTTGAGACTAATATTTTTATTCATTGAAAAATTAGAGAATTTGCAAAGGGTCTAAAACATATTTTCTTCTATTTAAGTTTTCTCACTTCTTGTAATTGTCAATTGCATTCTTGAATTCATTCTTATTTTATTCTCATCTTTCAAAGTCAGTCATGAGTTCATATGATCATTATGATGCCTATTCATATACTTATTCAACATCAAGAATGTCTCAAGTTCACAGTTCTCCACAACGTCATTACTATACCTATTACACTCCTAGAGTTTTTCGGAGTTATCATAAAGTCCATAGTAAGTTCGAGTTTTATTATGAAGATTATCTAGAATACTACTCTGGGACACTTAGGTCATATAACAGTTATCAACGTCATGCTTCCCAAAGTTATTATCAAGGTCAATTTGGATCTATCTTCAATGTCATTAGTGACCAAAAGCCCAATATGTCCTGAGAAAAATGTTGAGACCTTTGAAATTGGAGTTGCCAATACTAAATATTGACTCGGCCAATTACGTGAAGAGTGTAGATGGATGAAAAATCAATTATTTGAATTAACAACTCAACTTTTTCACTTGACTAAAATTCTTGCAAGTCAACAAATGGAAGAAAATAAGGACAAGTCTCCAGTTTCAGCTAATGTCGGACACCCGCATAATGATAGCCATATATATGTTCTGTTGGACTCTCATATTTTTCGTCCTTCAAAACATACTTTCAATCGTTTGAACATTGATACTAGTGATGAGATTGTGTTTGATCCTATCATGTTTCTTACATCATCGGAGCTAAAGTTGAATCATCACTAATCATTGAACTTGAGAAAAAATTTATTCAGTTGGTTCCAATGCAAGATGTTGAACATATTGAGTTATCTATTTTAGAATCTGTTGGCAACTATTCTATGTCTACTATTCTGAATCATGATGGCATTGTTGTGGATTCTTCTCCACCTGAGATTGTTGACATTGTTTTGGATTCTACCCCACTTGAGAGTGTAAATTTTTTTTCTTTGCCTACTATCAGGTGTTCAATTGAGTTTGTACTTTCTTATTTTCAGTACTAGGGTGTTATAGTTACTCCTTTGTCATTGATGTCTTGTCCCACCGAATGCCTTTTGTTCAAATCTAATGAGAATTATTTTTTTATTTTTAAGTTTGGATTTAATGCTTATTTTTTTAATTTTTCATTAAATGTTAGTATTAGTCCAGTTTTTTATTTGGAGGACATGCTACTTAATCGAGGTATTCCAGAACCTCCTATTTTGTTATCTAGTGTTTCTATAGGTGGAATTACTTCTTCCTCAACACTAGCTCCAGTTTTTATCTTTCCACTTCCATCGCATACTTCAGGCCAAATAGATGATGTGCTACGTGACCAGATTTACATTACTACACATGGAGATGTTTGCATTTATTCTGATCGATGAAAAAATGTTGATGATTCTTTCATTCTAGATGAGGCGTTCTGTCATCTTCATACTGCTCTCTTAGGGTACTTCTGCTTTGAAGACTCTCCGGAGGAGAGGTTTTGTCAACAGGAGGAGAATGATGAGAATTGTGTAGAAATTGGATAAATATTATAGATTAATTATGATAGTTATTTAAATACTTTTAATATTTATCTTTTAAATAATTTCTTTTAATTTATGAGGGTTTATTTGTCATTATTTATTTATTTTAAAGGGATGTATGTAAAGGTTTTATTTAAACTAAACTTGGATTATTTTTACTGATATTGAATCCTGATATTGCTTTTTCATCAAATTCTGTCTCTGTCCTCATCCACTTCTTCTTCTTTTCTCATCCCCTTCTTCTTCCCTACTACGATCTACTTCAGGAATCCTTAGGAGTTTCATGCGAATCAATTGTAGTGGCTTAATATCATAGAATCTCCTTTCTCCTCTCAGTGCCTTAAAAGTGGAGTAGATGGTTTGCCATATGCATTAGACCATGTTGCTCTGCTCTTCAAAGTACTTTTCTTCATTTAGATGCTATCAAATAAATTAGTTTTAATGCTTATTGTATGATTCGCTTTTTGAAGTTATGAACGATTAGCTGTTGACTGTCTACCGTACTCATTGTTTCACCCGGTCATGAGTTACTGTATGTAAACTTGGTTGTGTATTTGGGCTTAATGTTTGCCAGATATTGAGCTAATATTTCTTTTGCTGATTTTAAATGGGCTAGAAGTCTAGATTGTCTTTTGAATAATGTGAAAAAAGGTATGTTTAGAGGATAAACTCAACTCAGAAGAGCCATCTTTATCGCAGTGAGAAACTAGACATCACACGAATACAAATTTTCTCTTTTCATTCTGTTTGGTCAATTTCAAGAATAGGTGACTGAAAGCAATTGTTTCATCCCCGTTACCCATATCACACTATTCCTCATCCGCATCCTCATCTTCCTCTTCTCATCTCTCTCTCTCTCTCTCACCCTCCCCCCTTTTTAATGCTTTTAGTAGACGTTTTTCCTGGGTAAGATTTCATCTCATTGACATCCAAGGGAGGTCCAATGAATAATGTTCTCCTCTGAAAAATAATCAGACTCCTCTAATCTATCAGGCCCTTCTGTGAAATTCTATAACTTTTTGTGATCACTATTGATTCATGAGGCCTGACTCATTGTAGTATTATTCACTGCCTTGAATTTCGATGGTCCTTTGTTGGATCCATTTGTGGAGCCTAAGATCCTCTGTAAACCCAACAAAGAAATTCTCCAATTCTCAAGGGAGGACACTGGATCAGATTATCTTAAGCAAAGTGGCTTGTTGCAGACAGCTGTTTATCAACCCAACCCCTCGCAAAATAAAACACTGGTGGCTTGAGATCCATTCGCTGTCCAGTGTTTATATTGTATTTCTACTGAAATTGTATATCTGCATATACTATCATGTGACATTAGAGACCATCAGTGGGTGATGCCCTTCAAGTTTAATATCCTTATCGTTACTACTGAAGAAGTGTATGAAAGGTCCTTTATTTAATCTTTATGGCATCTTGGATTGCACAATTTTCATCAAACCGTGCTTTTTATTTCCCACTTGACTGTTAGCTTCTCCGTCAATCTTATTCCTTTCCATTTCTATACCAAACAAAGGAATGAGGGGAAAAGAATACGGCGTGTGGTAAGACTTATTTATTTATCTGTTCATTTAATTGGGTAAAATTATTTTAGATTGTTTTTGAGATATTCAGCATGGACTGTGCTTGTTTGATCATTGACATTGAACTGGATTTGTTTAATCAACGCATTGTGTGTGCTAGGTGTTTGAAATAAAAAATGATGCTAAAATGAAGAGAACAAGGCAAAGACCACTACCTTCAGGGCGAGTTACTGTACCTCATGCAGTCACCTGGGCATCTTCTGTTGGTCTAGCAGGCACAGCTTTACTAGCATGCGAGGTGGCAAATAATTGCACTTATTCTTTTGTCATCTATTTGATAAATATTCTGCATTCCTGTGCTCCTTGATGCTTAATATGTTAGGTTTGCGGGACTCATGTTGCAACTTCTATGACAAGGTTTTTGCAGGCGAATACATTGGCAGCTGGGCTTGCAGCTTCTAATCTTGTTCTCTATGCATTTGTATACACTCCACTGAAGCAGATACATCCAATAAATACGTGGGTTGGGGCTATTGTTGGTGCTATTCCACCCCTTCTTGGGTAAAACTTTCTTTTGTATAGCTTTTTCCCTTCTCATTGCACATTTGCCTTGATCTGTTCACAGATATACTTTTCCTGTTCAATGTCCTTTGGTTATACATGATTTTCTCAACAGTTTCATCTGTTTGTGGTACTGCAGTTTATCTCTCATTTCAACTTTCCTTTAGCAAGTCAAATATGTCCTGGATTTTTGTGAAGATACATTTTTTTTTCTGGACTTCGGTTTGAAATTTCACCCTTTTGGAAGGAATATATTTGCAGGACTGCTTTTCTAATGAGAAGAATATTGCCAGCTTAGGGATCATTGTCAACGCATGAAAGCATTTGGTACTTCTGTAATTATTGCATGTAACTAAAGAAATTGAAAGTTGAAACTATAAGCTAGTGGATTTTTTTTCATTTTGATATGTAAACTTGCAGTCTCTATGGCTTAAATGGTTTCATGGGTCAAAACAATGTAATTTAGATAAAAATTATCTCAGTAATCAGTATGCAGTATGTTTTATGATGCCATTTGTAAACAAAATTTCTGTCATTACAACCTTGGGACTTCTTAATGTGTACCACACCTCTTATTGTAGTCCGTTCCAGGGTCATTTTGTGATGGAACATTGTGTTGAATAGTAGGTAATATAGAACCAAAGTTCTTACTGATGTCTTAAAGTGGACTGTTAATAAATAGAAAGTAACGGTTTTCAGATGTATAACCTTTCCTCTCCCCCACCCTCTGTCTCACAAAAAAATCTTAATATATTATAAATGACATCCGGATGGTTGCCAAGTACAGCTACCTTTCTTTGTAATGAAAATATAAGAATGTTTTTGATTGACAACTGATATTCGCAGTGAGATTTAGTAACCGGGCTTTGATTGTTGCTTAGGAGTTTCACAACAGACTACTTTGGCACTAGTTATCAGTCATGCTTATGCATATACCTGTGCCCTCGTGCCCGTGTCCTGTGTTTGATGTAGAATCCTAACACTTGTTTGTCTTTTGTATTTATAGGTGGGCTGCTGCTTCTGGCCAGGTTTCACTTAATGGAATGATTCTCCCCGCTGCTCTATATTTTTGGCAAATACCACATTTCATGGCCCTTGCATACTTGTGCCGCCAAGATTATGCAGATGGGGGGTATGTGCATGTGCTAAGCTATTTTGTAGTTTGGATGATTTAGAATTCGTTAAGCCATTATCCTTGATCTGAAGAACTGCATCCGGGACGCGTGAGTATGATCTTCGAAATCTCCAAAAATGTGAGGAGAGTGGGAGTTACAATTTTGATGATCAAAACTTCAATTTACAAGTTACATTTTTCTTTTAATTTGGAGTGTCTTTTAAAGGCACGAAAGACCTTTTAATAGTGTCTGTGAGATAACTGGGAGACCCAAAGGCCTCCACGATTATAATTATCCTGTATAGTTGGAAGCTGTGATCCAACTTTTTCTGGAGTCAGCTGGACAGCTTTGTTCCAAGATTCAACCCAATGGGTTTTATAGGAGAAGTGCATGTGCAATTAATCACGATCCTTCTCTACCCTACCTTGTGCCTTGAAGTGTTGACTAGCTCATAAATAACTATTGAAAATATCAACGTGCACTTCAAAAGTATGACTTGTTACTCGATTCTATTTTTTTCGCACGAAATGGAAATTTGAATTATATGATAATTCTTTGTTTGGGATTTTTGGGTTGTGGGCAAGGATCTAAAATTTTGTTCAAAAATGTTTGAAACATTTTCGTTTCCATGGAAACTGAAATATATATATTGGCATTCTATGCCTCAAGGTGTTTCAGGATGTTTAGATGTGTTTCGTAGGTTTCAAGATGTTTCACAAACATATTTTCAAATTTTTTCTTTGTTTCCATCCTAATTTTGAAACGCTTCCGAAACATTTTTTGAAACGTTCCGGCCTAAACTATGCACCAAAACGAATTTTTTGTCCTTGGTTGTGTGGTAACATTTGTCAGTTTACGTGGTTATCAAAAATCATTTACTGGGAGTCATGATACTTGGAATATCTAATGCTGGTCTCTTTCTGCTCTTTCTTAATCATTTCTCTCTTTTTTGTTTTACATTCAGGTTTAGGATGTTTTCTCTCGCCGACACATCTGGTCAGAGAACAGCCTCGGTGGCTTTGAGAAACTGCTTCTATCTGCTTCCATTGGGGTACCTGGCCTATGATTGTGAGTTCTCCCTGAATTTAAATACATTGTTTTGGAGGTCTTCTCTCATTCTCTCATTCATCATTTATTACAAGTGTAATTTAGGTTGGTGTTATGATTGTGAATTACTCCCAGAGCCATCAATGATGTGGCCAGAGAAAATAAGACTAAAAAGACAAATGTGCCTTACAATCAAGTTCTAGTGGATCTGTGACTTGTCCCTTTGTTTGTTTCTTACAAGTCAATCAAGATCAAGGAATCACATTAAGACTTGGATTATTGATTAGCGAACGATGACGACCATGGCAGAGTGGGGATATTGCCGACTAGTCTTTCGTTGCTACTGCAGGAGAGGATGTGGTGTATGTGATGTGAACGACCACGAGGAAATAAAATCACGAGAAAGGGATAGGGTGAGGGAGTGGGGAGGCGCTGAGTGGTTTCAGGAGGTCACTGATCCATGGAACTTTGACTGATAGGCACTTCTGTCTTTGAATGCCAAATGCTCTGGCAGCATCAATGTTGCCTTCAGCAATAATGCCAGCCTTGGTTTACTTTAGTGCTTGGTAATTAATTATCATTGAAAACTTAGTTGTAATTTGAATCTCTAATTCAAATGTCGCTCGTGTTGTTTTTGAATGACAACTTAGTTTGAAAATAAGGTGTTGATGCACTCAGAATATACCCAAGCAGGATAATAAATGTTGTCTAGGAGTCACATGTCTCTGTTTCATAAGTGTTGTGCAAGTGATTTGCAGCTGTACATTTTAGATACCTCAAGCAATGTATATCATGTCAAGGTAAAGGTTCACTGTGGGATGCCAAAGAAATTAGATCCCTGAACTTTATCAGATTAAAGAATCTGAAATATCAAAGCAGAATTGATGAGGTTTCAGTGTTAGACTGTTGGTGAACTTGAATTTCTTCAGAGTTGAGGGGGGTCCAGCACTGTGTAACTGGTTATAGCGTATTTGGTGGTTCTTCAAGGTTTCATTTAATGGAATGCACAGTTTTTTGGCTTTGAACTGATGGTGACACCCATAGGCTGAGTGAGTTAAGGATGACTTGTGAGAGAGAGAGAGAACCCCCGTGCGGGGGGCGGGGGGGGGGGGGGGGGGGGGGGGTTTAATATTCATTCTTATCCTTGAAATTATGTTTGTGGTGGTTCTTTTGTCTTATCTTTCTTTCCTTGGTCCCTGATCGATCTTGTACAGTACGCAGTTATTTAATATTTTCATAGAACCATATTTAGATGAGGTTTTTGGATCAGTTCTTGTGTTTAGCATAGATCAGATCTATTCATTTTTTTATATGTTATGACATTCTCTGATGAGTGCTTTAATTTGATCTCTCTCTCTCTCTCCAGCTTTCTTCGGTTAGAAAAGTTATTTTTCTTGAGTGCTAACTCCAGGCAATCTACTGATTGCAAGCAAGCAGTAGTAGTATGAATATGTGATTACTTTTAAGATGACTTGCTGGTGGTCGGGAATTCATCCCATTGCAAATGATGTATGCAGGGGGTCTAACTTCCGGATGGTTTTGTCTTGAATCAACCCTCCTGGCTCTTGCAATCAGTGCAACAGCATTGTCATTTTATTTGAACCGCACCACAAAGAATGCCAGGAGAATGTTCCATGCCAGCCTTCTCTATCTTCCTGTATTTATGTCTGGGCTTCTATGTCATCGTGTACGTGAGAGCCAGGAGTGCATAGAAGTGGAAAGTTCACAGAGGATTGTTGAGCTTTCTTCTTCCCTGGGAACTATTCTACATGAGACTGAAAATGTCAGACATCCGAATAAGGTTAAACACACGTCTGTTGGTGCCCAAGCACGGCCACCTGTAGCATATGCCTCAGTTGCGCCATTTCCTTTCTTGCCAGCCCCTGTGTATGCTACCCCTTGAGGTTTGAGTTTTTAGTTATGTATCTGTTTTAGCTTGTTTATTTTTTAAATAAAGCATGACAAGAGAATAGGCATTCCATAACTTTTATCGGGTTTTCAAGAGTTTTTGCAACTTTTTCATTTTCTCCAGCTTCTGATATGTATCGAGTAATATTTTGTTCCTGCTGTAATAAGTAAATGTTTTGTTCATCGATTTTCATTTATTTCGCTCGTATTAAGTTGTATGCTACCAGTCAAGGTACTTCAGTACTATTCAAGAAGAATATTTGTTTACTTCCAATACCAGAATTTGTGTGTGTGCGTGCAGTGTTGGTGATTCATTGAGGTTTTTATCAGTCTATATGACACACACTTCTGAATGGAATAGAACCTTGTTCAAAGGTCATGATTCATGAACCATGATCAGTATTTTTGAAGTGAACAGATGGTGTCCATTGTCCAAGGTTCCTATTTATAATAGGGTCTATGACATGACGGTGGGAAGCAGTGTTGTCAACGTTCTAAGTCCGACATCTCATTGAGACTTGTGGCACGCGTAGTGGCTAAAAATGGACTTGTAAATGGATCGGATTTGAATTTTATTCAAATTTCTTTTCGAATAGTTTAGTTTGGTTCAACAGTATTTTGATCCGAGTCATATATGCATACGAGTATATGGTGAAATTAAATGAAATAAAGTTAAAAATAAAAATATTTTTTGTAGAAGTTGGTCTTTGAATTGGATCACATTTTTGGATTAATATTTGATTTTTAATGGGTATACATATGGATTGCAAAAACAAAAATCTGTCGGATTATTGGATCGGAGTTTTTCAATTGTATTCAATTTGAATCAACCGAATTGATGGATTTATCCTTAATAAGATGCATTATACGCATTTAATATAAATTTTATACAGGATGTTTTTAAAAAGAAACAGGAGATATAAAAAATTAAAACACATTTTTTGAAAAAAAATTTCCAAAACATTTTTTGAGAACTTATGCAAACAAACCCAAGTTGTTTGGATTATTCTCAACTCTATTTAAATTTGAGTAAAAAAATTGAATCGATAAATTAATAGTCAGTATAAACATAAACACTCTGTACAAAAAAATAAAAAAATTTAAGAATGAATTTGTATAAGATTAGAGGTGCGCTGATTAAAAAATTTAAGGTGGTGTTTGGATCACCATGGAAAGATTGGATTGGATTGGATTTGAATCCCAATCCAATCCAATCCAACTCAATGCAAAGTGGTCTGGATAAATCATATCCCAGCTTTGGATAAGTTTTATTTGTTTTGTGGGCTCCATTAACATGTGAAGATAAAATAAATTAAAATGACCATTTCACCGTTGTGTAGAATAATGTGATCTAATCCTATACCATGTTTGGAATGGAATGAAAAAAAAAAGTCCAATCCATTAGTATTGATATTTTTACAACAAAAAATATAAATGAATAAATTACGTATTTTTACAAAATATTACAATAAATATTTTGTTCATTTATTTAAATTAATCTGTACAATACACTTTTAATCACAAAAAACATATACATCATGGAAAAAATAATAATTTCCAACACAAAAATAATAAACATATCGATACAACTCAAATCTAAGTCGTTATTTGTTTATTTCTAGAAAATTCGAAGATGTGTGTTTAAAAATAAAATTTAATTATTTTTTTCAATAAATAGTAATATTAATCCGAACTATATTAAATTTTTTCAATGACCCAAATGTAATTTATTTTTCATGACATGACACGATATAATTGAAAGCTATGTAACAAATATTAATGGATGAAATTATTTTTAGAATATAAATGTGAAATGGTCAGAGAGAGAAGGGCGTTTGGTGTTGTACGCAGTGAAGGGTTTCAGTACAGTCATGAGAGTGGAAGCCATGGATAAGAAATAGAGACGAAAACTTCTAAGAATGTGCTAGAGAGAGAAAGAGAGGGCATTGAACACTGCAGGCGTGCCTGTGTGTGTGTGAGTATGAATATATAAAAGCACGTGTATGTCGCTGATTGGTTTCTCGTCATTTTTCTAGAGAGTTCCGATATTGGCTCCGAACCGAAATTGAGAGTAAACCCATGTCCTAGTTTGGGTCTGTAAATCCGGGTTGTGTTGTCCGAACCGAATTAGATCCGACCCAAAACCCGAACCGGACATAAAGCTCTCTCGCAACAAAAACCCTAAAATCTCTCTCTCTCTCTCGCGGTTACCGCTGCCTCTGCACTAGAGCACTAGCTGAAGATAAATTGGTGAACAGAATTATTCTCTCTCTTTCTCTCTCTCTAAAGTCGGTTGCTTTCACAGGGCAAGAACTATGGAGGACGTGATGTCAATGGAGGAAATCAAAGAGACAGCCTCTCGCCTCGGCATCGATCTGTCTCAGCTCGATTTGGACTCCATTCGCCTCCCTCCTGGTGAAGACTTCGGCATCAAAAGGTAACCCCAAGAAACCTTAGTTCTCAAAACCCTCGGTTTTAAATGCAGATATGCATGTGTAGTTCAAGAAACAAATTTTACGTTGTCGTTGTGTTTTATGGGTGGTTTAGATGATGAGGATCTGAATGAGTATAATTGAAATCCTGTCACAAATATCTATTTATCTGTCTTATATAGATGAATGTATATGTATATATGTATGTATGGGTTTGTGTTTGTATTTTTTGTTAATACGGCAAAAAGTTTTATATTTTCATCTTTTTTTTGATGGTTTAGTGATGATAATGATCCGAATGAGTTTAATTAAAAAAACCACTTATCACAAATGTCTCTCCCTCTCTATATACAGTTGAAAATAGATACTATGTGTGTGTGTGTGTTTCTATTTTTATGCTAGTTGAATAAATTCTTATTGTTTTGTGACGGTTTAGTGATGATGAGGATTTGAATGAGGAGGACCCTTTGGAGTTTGATGCCGGGTTTGGTAATATTATTGTGGTGGATAATCTACCAGTTGTTCCAAAGGAGAAATTTGAGAAGCTGGAGGGAGTAGTTCGGAAGATATACAGTCAAATAGGAGTGATAAAAGAGGATGGGCTTTGGATGCCTCTTGATCCTGCCACCCAGAAAACCCTTGGGTACTGCTTCATCGAGTACAATACTCCTCAGGTACCATTTCTTAATACCATTTTTGTCTCTCTATATTGCACAATTGACTTTTTCACTTGTTAACAAATTTCTACATTTGTACATACTAGTCAATGGCACCACATAATCTTTAGGCTTGGAAGTATTATGAGCAATTTAAATTGGAACTTCCTTTAGCAGATAAAAGAAAATACTTACTTTTGAGTAATTTTTCAATAAGGAACTCAGCCTAGGCGTACAAATTACAATTGTCTATTTTTGTATTTATGTTTAGGTGTGCGTATATGTACATCAGTACATCTACTTGTATATTTACATAAATGTACATATACTTAACTACATAACAGCTCTGTGCATGCCTTTTCGGCAAATCCGAAGATCACTACCTTGACTCAGCAGCTGCTACACCTGATGGTTATATGCACACAAAGTACGCTAGGTGATGTTTGTGTCCCTTTGCTACATATTTATGTGTTCAACTTGAAGCCGTGCATGGTTGTGTAGGTGTTTAAATAGGACTTCATTTTAAATCCTTTTATGGAGATTTCTTTTGGCTTGGGAAGGAAAAGAGAAAGGTTCTACTTTTTAGTTCAACTCATGGCTATGTTGGCTATTTGGATTGGGTATTTTATGGAGCTTGACATTCTGGGATGTCTTGTTGATGATCAGCAGCATATGAAAGGGTCTTAACACAGGCAGGTTCACATGTCTGAATGGAAGTCTTTTTTTTCATTGCAAATCCCAATTGAGCCAATCAGCCAAACAAATTCAAACTTGGGAACACCTTTTGGTCAATGTAGGCTGAGTTAAGACTGGGGGCAATGTGTCCCTTGGGGTTGTAATAACCTTTTATTTCCATGATAAAATCCCCAATTGAAACCTGGCTAGTGATTTCCAAACCTGGCTAGCCTAAGTCCTCTTCAATTGAAACCTGGCTGAGTAATTTCCATGATAAAATCACCTTTTATTTTAGAAATTTTGGTATGTGTTGGAATTTTGATGTGTACTGCAATCCAACCTGGTTGAGTAAAACGTACTCAAACTTTAGATGAAGCAATGTACACTGTGGTAATAATGTGGCTACATGTCCCTTGGGCCTTTGGCATGAGCCAGCCATTTCCGCTGAAGCTTATCTAATAGTCTACGAGATGAAAGTTCCTAGTATTATTATATCTTTGAAGGTATTGTAATTACTCCCTCCCTCCAGACATTTGGACTTTACCTTTTCTTTTTTTGACGTTCCTGATGAAGAGTCTACTTAAAGGAAATTCAAAGGTTAGATAAGTTCCCTAAACTGTCCTTTTGGATTGGTCTTGGCAAGTTCCCCTACAAGCAAACATTGTGATTTAATTTGAAGCAAAAAACTTGAATTTCTTGCTTGACAGTGGTGCATTCAAGGCATATCTCACTAAAAAAAATTGGGAGTCCAGAGAAGGACTCTAATTTTTTTTGGTAGATGGATTAACCTATTTTTACCTCAGAATCTAGGAATCATATTTTGAGTACTCAATTGATCTTCTTTTTTCAGTCATTTATTTTTCTCGAAAGTACCCAACTACTTGTGTAGTGGTAATTTTTAGTTACGCTTCTTACAAGGATTATGAGCTTGTCATACTACTCTCAAGGACCAAGAATTGGCTTCTAACAAACATGTCAATTAATTTCCTCTACAACCTCTCTGTAATATCTGTACCTGCACATATATGTAGATATTATTTGGAAATCATTTTGTGCACATCCAAACTCTGGAACTTGGGTCACGTGCTTTCCTGGAGAGTGGATTATTTTTTGTTTGTGCCAAATGTAAGTACTTGGCCTGATTGGTAGTTTATGATTGAAGATTTGTGAGTATATGTGCACATAAGGCACGTTTGGTTGATAAAAGATTGGAGAGCTATAGGCAGTTTTTCTATCAGATTTTCGTTTGTAGTCTTAAAGTGTTGTCATTTGCTAATTTTCATAAACTATTTGTTTCTTTTAATATAAAATATCTATCGGTTAATATTTGAGTTCCTTTCTTCTCTGCAATGATACTTTCTCCAAATGTAATTTTTTATGTATTTGGTTTATCATGGCTGGCCATTTTAGGAAGCTGAACTTGCTAAGGAGAAGACAAATGGATACAAGTTAGACAAAGCACATATATTTGCTGTGAATATGTTTGAGGACATCGAGAAGTTCTTGAAAGTTCCAGATGAGTGGGCTCCTCCTGAAACTAAACCATATGCACCAGGGGTAGGTAGTTAAATCTGTTCTTATCATGTTTTTGATTCCAACACTCTTTCTTCTCTGTTTTTGATATACTCTTTTAGGATATTTGATTTGCTGGAAATCACAACATAAATTTCACCAAATCTAGACAATATATTATGACTGACAAGTGTCTGCCTGAGTTAATTTGTGCAATGAGCTTAGATATCCAGTGGTTAATAATCAACACACCTGATTTGTTGGCTGCTTCTATGATGTTTTCTTAAATACAATTTTCGAAAACATACAAGATTTTAACATGCCATCGCATTCTTACCTCATTAAACTTGTGATCTGTATCTTTAATGTTATGAATGTTTAAGTGAATTTGGAGTCATTGTGATTTATTATTTCTCCTGTTAAATTTGGTATTGTTGGAAAGTTTCAGTTTCGTAGGTACGAATTCCCACATTAAGGCTTCTTTTGAGTTGTTTTTGGTATGTGCTATTGTTGCAAATTATTATAGTTGCTATATGTAAAGGAGGGCATGATTTTTAGTTTTTAATGTTTGATGTTAGCTGATACGTGAGGGTATTAAGAGGGTTCTTTGTATGATGCTGTGAAAGATAGGCAAATTTACTTACTGAAGGAAAGGGTGAGCTATTTTGAAGTGTGTAGTTCCTTCTTGTGGGGTAGAGTAGACTTGTTGTTGGCTTGTCAAAAAGGAATATTGTAGGTCCTTAAAAAATGTCTGGTTTTGGTAGGAGCTGCACAGATGTTTTGCAATCCACAGTTAAACAGAGCAGTGTGATTAAGGAAGTTTGTCTAATAGAGTAGGGTGTGCTGAACCCCTCGAGTGGGACGAACGGAAGCGGTAATGTAATTAATGTGAGGAGTGTGAACATAGCTTGTCTACAAGAATTTGGGAGTAGTGAAGAAAATTTTACATAGAATGAGTATCCATTTTAATGACTTTGTTTCCTAGAAACTCAAACAGAGTTGTATGATAATAACAATCTATGAACGATAATGCAGTGGAGGTGTGATTAAGAGTTTGAGACAAGGGAGGAGATTGAATAATATTTCCTTTTGTCATGCTGAAGATGCCACCTTTAATTGGATTGTCTGTGTACTTTAAGGGATAGGATTGTAAGAATTTTCAAATGGCAATTTTGGAGAGAAGATCGATAATTATGAGGATCGCAGTCATGAAGAGAACAAAATGCAGTTAAGAGGCTTTCATATGATTATGTTATTGAGATACTATAGAGTACAGGGGGGAATTTGTCAGAATAAAACACGCGTGAAATGCCTTTCTAGGCTTTGCGTTATTATGACACATTGCCTCAAGTTTTTTTATAGATTTCTCTATGCCCTCATATGCATAATTAAAATGTCTTGCATCCTCAATTTCCAAATTGGTTTCACTTTGCTCCTTCCGTCAATTGTCTTAAGACTATTGGGCGTAGAAATGAGACATATCCATGTGTTATTTTTCTGTCCGAGATATTACAATGATGCCATCATTTCCATCCAACATTCCACTGGAATTTGATGGAAGATGTAGAGTGAAACTAATTCCAAAATTGGAATGTGCAATGTGTTTTATTGAAAGTTTGGGGGTAAAGTGAGATTTTAAAATACTTAATGGGACAAAGTGTAATTATTAACTTACTATGCAAACTTATCATTGGAAAGAGAATCTTTAATCACTCCCACCTTGTTTTTCTTTTTTGCATTTTTTTTTGGGGGGTGGGGGTGGGGTGAAGGGAAATCATTTAATCCATTACTGCACCAGTCCTGTTCTCTGTCCCTCATCCTTCCTCTCATATCTTGATGCTTTTATTTTATTCTCGCATGATTTTTGCAGGAAAATCTACAACATTGGCTTACTGATGAGAAAGCTAGAGATCAGTTTGTTATTCGCGCTGGTTCTGACACGGAGGTTTTATGGAATGATGCGAGACATTTGAAGCCTGAACCTGTTTATAAACGTTCTGTAAGTAGACATACTTTTGTTATTCTCATTTTATAAGCGTGTGTGCTCGTGTGTGTTGGCCATATCCTGGTTTGTTTATTTTCTGTTATAGCAAGTCCCAAGTATTATTCAGTTAGAGATGAATATTTAGTTGCAGTACACTGCTCTTGATGTTTTTGATGTATCAATACCTATTTCTTTTTCGCCGTAATTTTGATTGTTTAGTGTGGATGATGATGATGTCTTATTGGTGCAGTTTTGGACTGAAAGTTTTGTACAGTGGTCCCCACTTGGGACTTACTTAGCCACAGTTCATAGGCAGGGTGCTGCTGTATGGGGGGGTGCCACTTCCTTTAACCGCCTTATGCGTTATGCTCATCCACAGGTTACTTTGGCTCTCGTTTTTAGTTACTTTTGTTGTTTGCCTTTGTGATTTTTAGTTTTAGTGGCATATATTGCAGGTAAAACTGATTGATTTTTCTCCTGGTGAGAGATTTTTGGTGACTTATAGCAGCCATGAACCGAGCAATCCTCGTGATACGCATGTAAGTTTTTCTACTGCTTTTGGTTTATTCTACTATATGATTGCCTTGGGAGATATACTTAATGTTGTTCAATTTATCCAGAGGGTTGTGTTAAATATCTTTGACGTGAGAACTGGAAAAGTGATGAGAGATTTCAAGGGAAGTGCAGATGAGTTTGCAATTGGAGGAACTGGAGGTGTTACAGGGGTGTCTTGGCCTGTTTTCAGGTGGTCATTCAGCACCACTGTAAATTTATACATTCTTGAAGATTTTCATTATTTGAATGTCTCGTGATTAAGGATGTACTGATTTCTCAGGTGGGGCGGTGGGAAAGAAGATAAATACTTTGCCAGAATTGGGAAAAATGTAATCTCTGTCTATGAAACTGAGACCTTCACTCTTATTGACAAAAAATCCTTTAAGGTGGATAATGTGATGGATTTTTGTTGGTCCCCAACTGATCCCATTCTTGCACTCTATGCACCTGAGCTTGGTGGTGGGAACCAACCTGCAAGGGTGAGTCCAAGTAAACCTTTTTTGCATCCTTCTGTCCCCTTTTTTTATGTAAGTTTTTCGGGGAGTCAAGTTTTTATGAATGTTCTGCATGCTATTTGTAGGTGAGTCTTCTTCAAATTCCAAGCAAAGAGGAGTTGAGGCAGAAGAATCTCTTCAGTGTTAGTGATTGCAAAATGTATTGGCAAAGCAATGGGGAATACCTTGCTGTTAAGGTTGACCGATACACTAAAACTAAGAAGAGCACATACACTGGCTTTGAGCTTTTCCGAATCAAAGAACGGGACATACCCATTGAGGTTTTCGAGCTTGAAAACAAGAATGACAAGATTATTGCATTTGCTTGGGAGCCAAAGGGCCACAGATTTGCAATTATCCATGGTGATGGCCCAAGGCCTGACGTGACTTTCTATTCGATGCGGAGCGCTCATAATGCAGGTCGATATTCAAAGCTCACAACTCTCAAGGGTAAGCAGGCAAATTCTCTTTACTGGTCACCAGCCGGTCGCTTCATTATACTGGCTGGGTTGAAGGGTTTCAATGGACAGTTAGAGTTCTACAATGTGGACGAGCTTGAAACCATGGCAACAGCAGAGCATTTTATGGCAACCGATATTGAATGGGATCCTACTGGAAGGTACTTCTGGGAATAATTTAAATGATTGTGCCTTGGAATTAGAGGTTGTCAACCCTATATTACATCCAGAAACATTTGCTTTAGTATGGAAAAAGTGTTCGTGCAGTGCAATTAGAAAAAACTTAAACCATTTGTTCACTTTTGTATAGTACTGATCTTGATATTTGATTAAGTACAAGGTATCATTCCATTCTTATTATGGCACCTGTGGGCATTTTTAGGTATGTTGCTACGGCAGTTACCTCAGTTCATGAGATGGAGAATGGTTTCAACATATGGTCCTTCAGTGGAAAGTTACTGTATCGGATACCAAAGGATCATTTCTTCCAGGTAAGATGATTGAGTACTTTGTATTCTTTTTACCCTTGTTGGCAAGTAGTAATAGTGCTATCTCTATCTATTCATAAAACAATCAGCCCACATAAGAATTCCTGGCTTTAAAGAGTTTCTGTTATGATTGCATGATGATTTCTGCTCAAATAACACGTGACACATATTATAATGCCTTAGCCTAACCGATATTTTTGCTGTAAGTTGCTTATATTTTGGTGAAAGAAAACTGCCACTTCCTGGTCCAAGTTTTTGTTATTTTGATTCTTTCATGCTGATGATACAATTGCAGCAAGTTTTCAAATTTGCTTGGGGTGCATAAATTTGGTCAAATTTCTCTCTCACAAGCACATGACCTAACCATGTTGGGGGAACTACAACCGCCCCCTCGCGTAAAAATCCCCCCTTCCCCTAAAGGTCCCAAAAAAAAAAAATTCAACATTTAAGAATAATATTTTTTAAGCAAATTTGAACATTTGCTTGTGGTGCATGAAATACATGCCCCTGCTCTCACAATGCACGACGTAACTGGGAGACTCTTCCCTCTCTTTTGGGTGTATTAATGCTTAATTTTCTTTTGATTATTATAGTTTCTGTGGCGCCCAAGGCCACCATCTTTCTTGAGCCCTGAGAAAGAGGAAGAGATTGCTAAGAACCTGAAGAAGTATAGCAAGAAGTATGAAGCAGAGGATCAGGATGTGTCGATGCTATTAAGTGAACAGGATCGTGAGAAGCGGAAGATGTTGAAGGATGAATGGGAAAGGTGGATCAACGAGTGGAAGACACTGTATGAAGAAGAAAAAATGGAGAGGCAGAAGCTGAGGGATGGTGAAGCCAGTGATGAAGAAGAGGAGTACGAGGCCAAAGAAGTTGAAGTGGAGGAGTTGTTGGATGTTTCCGAGGAGATTCTTTCCTTTGACTCGGAGCAGTAGTGAGTGTTATTCAGTGTATAGTTTTTGAAGCTATAAAATGAGGTTCCTCAATTGAGATCATGGTGGAATATGGATATGCCCTCAGCAGCAGAGGATTTTCACTAGTTACCAGTTTTTTTTTTGATATGTTCTGTAGGGCCTTAATGTTTGTTATTTATGACACTTTTTGTTCCTAAATAGGAATTTTCTCTTGTGATAACACTCGCCAGAATTATAATACTTATCCCAGCAACAAGAAGTGATTTTAATCGCTTAATGACATTCAAAGTTTTGTCCCTTGCCATGAAGATATGCATTGAAGTTGGGTATTTGAGGCTCATTATATAATTATGCCTTTGCTCTGACTTTGTTTCCATTTTTTCAATGGAAGCAGTTGATGAATATTTTGTTTGGTATCTGCTCTCGATCTGTGTGTTTAGGAAAGATTAGCCTGTTTATAGAGTTCTTGTGGTTTCTTTGTGCTCTATGATTGTTTGTACTCTTATGCCTGTGCCTTCGATGTAATACTTGCTTCTTTACTCCTGGTGAAAGGGAAAACGTAAAGAGTAATAACAACTGGTTAAAGGTTGGTTCCTTAACCTGAAAATGTTACGAAGAACTGTTGGATATTGCTGAGTTTGTGTTTCAATTTCTACTACTATCTGAATTTTTATGTTGTTTTTCTGTTTTGCATTTAGCTGAAGCTATTTTCTTCCAGTTGCTGCATATTTGATTGCTTATCTACTTATTGGAAGTTGAACTATATACTTATTCGAATGATTTTCTAATATTCTAGTTCATATTTTGTGAAAGAATTTTTTTTTTGCCTATTCTACTCGATCAAGTATACTATTTTTTTTCGAATTTCGCTCAAAACAATTAGGTAGGAAGTTGGGTAACAAATCGGGTTTAATTTTTGGATTATTTTAATAATTTAATTAAATAATTTGTATTAATTAACTAACACAATAAACCAATAACAATAAAAAAAAACACAATAAATTTGATAATAAATAAATACTTATAATAAAATACAATAAGAAAGTCATAAGTATCAATATATTATATATAACAAAGTCATAAACATTAATAAAACATTAGAGTTTTCAGATTTTTGAATTTTTATTTTTAGAGATTAACACACACACACACACACACACATATATATATATGCAAGTAGGGTAGGGTAGGGTAAGAATATGAAAATTATATAGGTATTCTACATTCCTATTCGATTTTTTGTGGAATACCAAAAGATTTTTCCTTGGTCTACTTGATTTTTTTTGGATAGCCGATTAGTAAAATCGGATATGATAGAGTAGGATAAGAATTTGCGAATAATCAAAAATTTAAACACTTCTAATAGTGTATAGTGTACAAACTATGCGGATTTCTTGGTGCATTCCGGTCCGTCAAGACTCGTGTCGGTGACAACTTCCATAGTGGAAGTCAATTTTTAAAATTCCAATACACCTCGTTCGGGAAAAGTCTCAAACGAGGACATTCGACCTAAGGAGTGGATTACGGTGATCCAAATCCACATCACTTTGGTGAGGTGTTTGTGATTTACTTGATAAATTTTGGGTTTTGGACATAATACAATAATGATTCTGAGAAGAGTTTTAATTTGCTGTCAATCTCAAGTGAGTTGAGCAGTAAAGATGGCACAGTTGATGCTATTACTGCTTTGCTTGTACTTCTGCTCTAAACAATCACATTGAACAACTTCTCTTCGTGACGGGTGAGACCAATAAATGTAAATGTGTATCAATTTAAACTGCTGGTTAAATCGGAATTCAATTCAACAAAATCTTATCTTAGTTATTTAAAATATGATACATAAATTCAAGATTAAATTACACATATAATCCTCAAACTATAATATTTATGTAAATTAAGTTTTTAAAGTTTTTTGTGTCAATTGATCCCCTGAATTCTCTTATTGTGTCAATTGGGTTATTCTGTTTACTTCCGTTTGAGTGTGTCACTCACGTGACTATATGGTACAAAAAGATAAAAAAAAATAACAGAAGGACCACATTACAATACTTTTGATATATTGATGGTGCAATGCGAAAAATTTTATCTCTTAGAGTATAATATAAAAAAATTTAAATCTTTTAGGGTGTAAAATATAATTTGCCCAAATTAAAATGATGCCCCAGTAATAATGAATATTTCATTAATGGAGCATGCATGAAGTATAGTTTTCTATAAATAATGTATGCATGCATTCTGAGAGATTTTTGTTGTCAACCTCAAGGGAGTTGAGCCGTAAAAGATAGGTAAAACTGTTATATGTAATGGAATCAAGACCAAATATATACTCGAGGAGGGTAACTTCATGATCGACCATGAAATATTATGATCGATTATGAATATCTCTGTTCAGTTGTAATTTCACCTTTAAAAGGTGTAACTTGACCTCATAAAATAGTAATTTTGACTTTAAAAATTATAATTTCTACCACTTTTTTATTTGTAACTATTACTTCAAAAAGGTATAACTTAATACCGAAATCGGTACCATAGTTTTCCTCTATACTGAATACCACTTTTTTTTTTTATAGATACTTAGCATGTGATAATTTGTTTTATGTCAACCATAGTCTAAGACAAATGGCTTGTCAATAAATCACAAATGTGGCTTACTGGATGTGGGATTTGTTAAAAATAGGTTTTCATGGTATGGTGTAAAAATTATAAGGGGATCGAGACTAAATAGGTTGATCTTAAATATACATTATTTTATTTTTGGACAAAAGAAATTTAATGGAAAGAGCAAAATAAGGGTGAAGAGATAAAAAAAGAGGTTGAATAGTGAATTGAACTTAAGTATAAAAGGAAAAACTTCTAGCAATTGACATTTACAAAGAAGCACCAATCTACCAAAACAAAAAGCTAAGAAACTATGGTTGCACATAATCATCCACCACTTTGAAATGAAGATCATCATTTTTTTTTTGGGGGAGAAACAAGGTTGGACTCGTTTTAAACTATAAGGATAAAGTTTTATACAATATCGAACTAACATTATCAATTGGACTCGAATTTCGACTCAAATCTGATTTATTAACATACATTTATTCAACTAAGCTGACACTACATCAAATAATTACATGCATCAAAAATCGTACCCAAAAAAAAAAAAAAAGTTTATAAGCCTCATAGCAACCATTAAACATGTGCCATCACCAGGTGCAAGTAAAATTGATGGAAGGCAACTAACCAAATTTGAGTGTAACTTACATGGCTAATCCCTCGGTTTTGATGAAACTATATAAAGACCCCTTATTATTGCAGAAATATTGCAAATACCCCTTTCAATTTCTGATATCCATAACCTGATAAATAAGAGTTGATACCCGCAAAATTGATTATTAAACCTCATTTTTTTTCTTTTTTTTTTTTCATGTTTACAAAATTGTTTTACTCATGGAAATAATTGCAAAATGATAATCTTTTCAACAAAAACTCTATGAAAGATGTCTATGTTATATTCCAAATATCGAAGAATTATCGTTATATTTTATGAAAACTCAAAGGGTACTCATATAATTAGCTCAAAAAAATAACATTAACTCAAAGGGAAGGACAAGTAGTTGGAAAGATCTTCCAGCCAAATGAAGTAATGCTCCCGACAGATATGTCGAGTGATTTATCTATATATTCATTTTACGTACCGAAAAAAAAAAATTAAGAGCAATATTAAGGATCCAAAATTTGAGATCCAAATCAATAGGGATTATTAGATTAATATGGGTTCCGTTGAAACAAATTAACGGATCCACTCATCCAATAGTCTCAGCTCATTTGGTTAGGATCCAAAATATCTCTTTGAAGTACATATTGAAGTAGGTCTAGGACTTATTGGTGTGATATGTTAGTTCAACATCAATTGTCAAGACACAGATGAAATAGGTGGCACAATTGATGCTGTTATTGCTACTACTTCTGCTCTAAACAATCACATTCAACAGCCAGTTCTCTCTCCATGGCATGTGAGACCAATAAATGTAAATGTGTCAATTCAATAACATATATGTTGACATGCAACCCTAAGCCTTAGATATCGACTGACTTAGAGGTTTTTTAAATGTTTGATAGGAGAAAGTTCATTTAATATACTTAAGTCGGTATTGCGATCAAGTCACTGAATAAACAAGAATATCGAACAACAAAAACGTGACCAAAAGAGTGAGTTTGTGTATAATAAGGTGTAGAACTGAGAGCTCTTACCTTGGACCTCATCTCAACCCTATTTATAAAAGAACTTGGTAAGTGACTTGGTACCACTTACCGATGAATAGCTCGTTTCCAATTGAGGTGTTTTAATTTGTCAAAATAATGATCATCAAGAGAAAAATTATATTGCAAGAAAAAATTTATTTGAACTTAATTTCGAAATTAATATGAAAATTTAATTCAATACAAACTTTAAAGTAAAAGTAAACTCCAAGTAAACACAAAGATCCATAACCTTAAGGAGGTAGAATTGGTAATCGAGACAAATTCTAAACTTAGATATTTTGAGTTTGAATTTAAGTAACCATTTAAGTTCAAGTTATCAGAGAAATATCACTTTTAAATTCTTTAGTCTCAACGTAGATAACCTGTCACATTGCTCATCTACCACCGAGATCCCAGCGGCTACCTACACAGGCAAAAGTGCCATGAATAGAATTCTTGGTGACCCTGCACTAAATAAGGTAGGCAACCCATCTGATTATGCATTTATTGGTCGGCATAATCCAAATGTTATGGGCCTCCACTGAATATTTGCCTTAATAAAATTGTCTACCAAACAATATTTAATTTTAAAAAAAATAATATAGTCAAATTATCAAGCAAATTATTTTTTATTTTTTTTTTCAAAATTTATGAAATGTTTGGATTGTGGACGTGATTCTTTTAGTTGACGAGGTGGAGATATCATTTTTTTTGTATATTTTATTCTTTTTTTGTTTCAATTAATTATTTAATTGACCTGGGTTTAAAATGGATATATGAGGGAAGAATATTTCATTTAATTATTATTTTTATCCACAATAACGACCTTTAGAGTGATACGTTAAATGGGTATTCATGTCTTTAGACCTAACTTTTAGACATTGTAATTTTTTTCATCCTTTTTTTTTTTTTCTATTATTGTGATTAGTATTAAATAAATAGTCTATAAATCAATCAAAATCATTTCCGTCAATATAATATTTCTAATTCTTAGCACATGAAATATTTGAGGGTATTGTTTCTTAATTTTTCACCATCTGTCCCACAACTAAGAGGTTGCGGGATGGGTGCAATTAAGCCATTGGATTGGACAGCCATGTGATAGAAACTGCAGCTAAGGTGAGAGGAACTTGAAGATGGTGGTGGGGACAAAGTGTAATTTTGGAAAGAAAAATATTATTTGAACTTAAAAATCTGACATAATTTATTGATTTAATGACGTGACTTCATTGAAACCATTGGATAAACACCAAATTCTAATGTTTGATGAAGCCCACAGTTAATCCAAAGGTCATAGTGAATTAGATCAGAAAATTAGATCCCTATAACATTGTTCTTTTAGAAAATATGTTCATACCGCATTTGGAAAAGAGCAATGTTATTGGGACTTAATTTGCTGACCTAATTTACTATAACCTTTGGATTGGTTGTGGACTCTCTCAAACATTAAAATTTGGTATTAATCTAATAGTTCTAATGAACCGACGTCATTAAGTCAACAAATTATGTGAGATTTTTTTGGTCCAAAAGCTTTCCTATGTATCTATTTATTCCACTTTGTGGTGCATTATAGAGAAGTCACAGAAGAAGAAGTTGGCTTAGAGAAAAAAGTATGGCTTCTACACCAGGGGTCCTCACTGACTGGCCATGGACACATCTTGGAAGCTTCAAGGTTTTTCTTCTTCACTCATAGTTTATGCACACACATTTGTGGTTTTATGGGATTTCGTTTATCTTTTGTGTCTGTGTTTAATCAGTTGGTAGCTGAGGTAGGTTTAGAAGTTGGTTTTGAAAGATGCTAACACGAGCTTATAGATAAATAACACCGAGTTTAGTCTCCATTGATAGAAGTTTTCGAGGGGTAGACTAAGTATAAACCTAGCTTTTGGTGTTATTTGAACAAAGTAGATGTTCTCCAATTCAAACCAATAACTTTAAAGTTATTGGACCGAATTGTGTTACTCTACGTAACAGATTTTCAGGCCAAATCATTGATCATAAACATGTTTTTATGATGTTTTATCACTCTTGTTTGCTTTTGCTCCTCATTCCTCTGTGTGTGTGTGTGTTTGTGTTTCATCTTCAACTGATTAGTTTTCATGCACTCACAAGTCAAGAACTAAATATTACACTGTTTTATGAATTATGAGGGTGAGAGAAAGTTAGTAGAACAATGAAAAAGACCAGTCAGAAACCACCAGGCAGCAAGAAATTTTTGTGTGCATTTAACACACCACGTAACACTGTCATGTAGTACGAGCGTTTGTGTTGCATAAACAGTCATTCTATTTCAGGGGTAAGGTTATGTATATATGACATGCCTAGAACTATCAAAAATAAGAGTTACTCTTGAATATATTTTGTTTGTAATTTTGTCACTAACTTATTATTTTGGCTAATTCTTGTGGATCGTTTTTGGTGTTGGAATGTTGTGGATGAAGTATGTGGTTTTGGCACCATGGGTGGTTCATAGCACACACCAATACATGTTTAAGGATGAAAGTGAGAGGGACTTATCCAACTTCCTCATACTCCCCTTTCTCTTAGCAAGGATGCTGCATAATCAGATATGGATTTCTCACTCTCGCTACAGAACTGCAAAAGGAAATAACAGGATTGTTGACAAGAGTATTGAGTTTGAGCAAGTTGACAGAGAAAGAAATTGGTCTCTCTCTCTCTCTCTCTCTCTCTCTCTCAAAGAGGGTAGTAGTGTGTTTGGATTGTGTAGTTTGGGTTTATGCGGAGCACTAGTCAACCTTAACTCTATCTATTTGTTTTATCGTGTTAGATACTTTGACAATAATTTAATCTGTTTGTTATGGTTGGTACATATGTTTGTTATGGTTGATACTCATAACTATGAATAAGAAATTCAAGACTAGGATCCTTTTTTCTCAAGCAAATCCATCACCCTTATACCCTCATATTGTAAAAATTCACTTGATCTTTATGCTTATAAAATTAAATAAAAAGTTCTCTAATTCTACAAAGGTTTACACCATCACTCGTCAAGAAATGAAAAAAAAAAAAAAGAACAGAAAAATAAACCAGACGTTTCCTTCATAAATTCTAGTTAAACGGATTTGCCATGTTAAAGTTGTGTTACTTTTGTCTCATTCTAGCCTGGTCTATTCATTATTTGTAGAAAACTACAAGGATTAGGATTTTTTGAGACAATTTTTTTTTGCTGCAGTAGTGATCACCGTCACAAAAAAGTGCGTTTTGAAGGGAAAAAAAGTTTTTTTTATGCCAATAGTGCTATCATAAAATTTTATTTGTTGTCGCAAATATTATTTAAGACGATTATTGTTGTCACAGAATTTTTGAGATTTCACTTATTACGACAATGTGTTGTGATGACATGCCTCGCCATTATATGTGTAAGCTCAAAAAATCTTTGTAGTATTTGCGACAATAAATAAACTTTTTATGACAACATTATTGTCATAATTGTTTTTTCTTTTATCCAAAACAGCTTTTTTATGACGGTAAACATTGCCGCCAAAAAAAATTTGTCTCAAAACGCTCTAATTCTTATAGTGACGAATATATATTATTTTTGTATTCATACTAATTTACGTATTTACGTATTTATGGTTTTAAGCGTGATGTGGGTACAATGGTGATTGGCAGGGATGATCAGATCTTATTCAATGGAATACTGTTTTACCTGGGGAGCCTAACATTGAAAGGGGCTTCTCATTTGCCCCTGTGGAGGACAGATGGAGTGATCATCACAATGTTGCTTCATATGGGTCTTGTAGAGTACCTCTACTACTGGCTTCACAGAGCACTGCACCACCACTATCTCTACTCTCGCTACCATTCCCACCACCATTCCTCCATTGTCACTGAGCCCATTACATGTAAGATCAACAAGACTTAACTCTCTTTACTTCTATATAACATGTTTGCTTTTTACCATGCACATCCCATGTAGCATGGCGATAGTAACCACCTCTATTATCGAGCAACCATTGCAGTATCGGTATCTTAACTCCGATTTACAGTTATTAATGTCCGTTTTCTCGTATGTATTCTCTTAATTTTTTAGTTAAAATGTAGCAAGTTTGGATATTAAGAGTTGAGATTGTATTTATTTAGTTCGATGTTAATTGAATACCACATTTGTTACATATTAATAGGGTTTGGTCTCCTAAGATGAGTTAATACTAGTTTTATACTAAAATGCAAAATAATGCCAATCCGGGTCGATATTCAAATCGAAAATGAATTATGAATTTTTGAAGTATAGATAGGTAAAACATCACTGACCCAAACATAAGAAGATAAAAGAAATTTATCCAGATTCAGGTCATCTCTATTATACTTATATTCAATTTCACTGAACGATAGATCACCCATCATGTATAAATAAAGACCCACAATCAAAACAGTGGATTCCACTTGAATCTATGGTTGATGATCTGAATCCAAGTATAATAAAGAGGATATGAATCTAATATAACATTTTTTTGAGGAAAAATATTGTGATTACTTGTTTTTAGACAAATTACACGATGATCCCCTCAACTACACTCTCAGTCTCACATTGCCCCCTTTTCTATCATGTTTCTCTCATTGTACCTCAATTATGGTTGTTGGTACTATCACATTTTTTATATTGCACCACTAACTATACTTCTTTGCTTCACATTGGTCCAATTTTAGACATTAAAAATTTAAAACGTGTATTTTACTATATGCATGGATATTTTTCGTTCAAAACTTGAAGGTTGTTTGATTTTGAAACAACGTGAAACCAAATCAAATAGTGGAAGAGAAATGTAAGAAAGTCCATACTTAAGAGTTAGGGTTCTGTTAACGTGAACTTCGAGACATAATTATGAGGATCAAAGTATAATTTTTTCTTGATTTTTTTATTTTTATTTTTTTCTGGTGGATAGTTTCTCATTCAGTGCAAATAATATTGTTGTGGCAGCTGTGATACATCCATTTGCAGAGCATATAGCATATTTCACCCTCTTTGCAATACCAATGGTGACGGTGGCGCTCACCGGAACAGGCTGCATTGTCGCCTTCGTTGGTTATGTCAGTTATATAGATTTCATGAACAACTTGGGCCACTGCAACTTCGAGCTCATACCCAACTGGCTCTTCTCCATCTTCCCTCCTCTCAAGTACCTCATGTACACTCCCTCGTACGTTCCCTAACCCATTATTTTTCTTTCTCATATGTGTAACTTTGTGGGTTAACCTGAATTCTACCTGAAATATTTAGTAAGTGGGCAGAGATTTTAAACATTCGGATTGGGTTTGGAAAAACTTGATTTAAATTTAGACAATGCTCGAATTGAGATATTAGTTTTCGAAAATCGGCCCAAATTCGTGAAAATCGTGTTCAAGGTGAATTGAATTAGAATTCAATTTGCATTGAACCTTAATCTCAAACCCAAGCCCACTAGCCTGTGAATTTTTATTCGAATTTCAACGCCCAAGTTGTTTAACTCGAGTTAACAGTTTTATAACTTATATTAGGCCTAAATTGACCTCTCCACATGCCCGACCCTCTAGTGCATCCTAATAATAACACACTCAAAAATAATATTGTAGTATAATGGTAGTTGAGACGATTGAACTTAATTGGTTACATGTTTGATGCCACAGGTTTCATTCACTGCACCATACTCAATTTCGAACCAATTATTCTCTTTTCATGCCAATCTACGACTACATATATGGCACCGTAGACAAATCTTTAGACACCCTATACGAAACCTCGCTCCGTCGGCCAGAGGAATCACCGGATGTCGTGCATCTGACACATTTGACAACGCCGGAATCCATCTACCATCTCCGGCTAGGGTTTGCAGCCTTTGCCTCTAGACCTGATACTTCAAAATGGTACTTGTGGGTAATGTGGCCTGTGACGCTTTGGTCCATGATGGTGACTTGGATCTACGGAAAGACCTTTGTAGTTGAGAGAAATATCTTCAAGAACTTGAAAATACAAACCTGGGCTGTACCCAAGTACAGGATACAAGTAAGGACCACATTGATTCATTTCTTTGTGCTAATTTTCATGCATGAGGTTGTTAATATGTTTGTCAATGAATGAGATTTAAATTTGATTTCCAACCTTCCATATCCGAATCCGATTTGAAAAAGTCTGATTGGAATGCGATTTGAATATCCGCTAGTCCATACTCATTTCCGCTAAAGATCGTAAATTCAATTTGTATATTAGTTATGATTTGAATAACTCAATTCGAGCTGAATTTTTGCTAATTATTTTTAAATTTCATCGCATATTTTATATATGTATGTAATTATGTTTGAATTATATTATAATCAAGTAAAATATTGGTATATCTAATTCCGAATCTGTTTTATTATACTTGTTGCAGTACTTCATGCAATGGCAAAAAGAGGCCATCAATACTTTGATTGAGGAAGCCATATTAGAAGCTGAGGAAAGAGGAATCAAGGTGTTGAGTCTTGGTCTTTTGAATCAGGTAAGCTCTCTCTCTCTCTCTCTCTCTCTCTCCACACACACAAAAGAAAGTTGATCAGTCTGTCTCACCATATATGTTTTGCAGGGGGAGGAGCTGAACAGAAATGGTGAACTTTATTTGAGAAGGCAGCCTCAGATAAAAGTGAAGGTGGGGGATGGAAGTAGCTTATCAGTTGCAGTTGTGATAAATAGCATTCCCAAAGGAACAACCCAAGTGATCCTTAGAGGAAATATATCTAAGGTTGCTTATTCCATTGCCCTTGCACTATGCCAAAGGGGTCTCCAGGTATTGCATTATTAACCATCCTTGAAAATTTGAGAGTCATTTTAGGAGACAGAGATGAAACTTCCACAGCAAAAAAGAAAGTGAAACTTAAGATGACAAACTATATATATGATATGCAACACGATTCGAACCCAACACAGCTAAGAAAAAAAATGATGCGAACTGCTAACAAGGACAATAAAGGAGTTGGGTAAGTGTCAAATATGAAATAATTCGATTTTCAAATAATTGGTGTTATACGAATAAAAATGTTGATTTTTTTATTATTTTTCTTATTTTTAATCTAATATGACATGGATTACTTTTGATGCAGTGTAAGTGGGATAGGAATCAAATAGAGTTTTAATATATGCGATATCTATATGTGATGAATTTCATCTAGAGGAAATTGGATCCTAGTCAAGGGTTTATGTTTCACATGTTGTACATATCAACCTAAATGCGGTACAACTAAAATATGATACACATATAAAACTTCAGAATCCGAATATACAAGAACTTAAAAGGACATGATGAACCTGAATTAACATGACTCCATCCAATAAAGATAAGAGTTGGTTTGTGTTCAAACCAAACCTAGGAATTCTTCATACCTTTACTTTTATAACACAGGTTGTAATTTGTAACAGGTAGCCACACTACGCCTGGATGAGTATAATAGGTTTAAAGCAAAGGTTGACCCTGAGGCAGCAAGCAATATAGTCCTCTCAAAAAGTTATGCTGTGAAGGTCAATTTTCTCTCCTTCTCACTCTTAAAGCAAAGATTTCTCTCCACTATCACTATGCATAAGATGACACTTTTAATATACTATGCACTGTATAATATATAAAAGTGTCATATTACTCTTTAATGACTCCTATTTTTCTAAGAGCAATTCATACTTTATACCATATTGAACTATAGTCCTGGTCTCATTGCAACCCCCCCTATTAGTTTTCTCATCATATCTCCCTAACTACTTGATTTAATTTTACATTACGCCTAAACCAAATATTTGTTATTTTTTGGACAAAAATTGGTCACCATCCATTAGATTTTGTGGCAAAATGACACAATTTTCTAGGAAAGTTATAACGGAAGAATCCCACTAGGGGCAGCTTAGGAACCAATAATCATAGTTGGAAATGATCAATGTGAGAATGACGGGGATATTGTGAGACATGGACCATAATTGAGAGTGTCAGAGAGTAATTTTCTTTTTTCCTAATTATTTGATTTTTCTGTGTTGCATTATGTTTATGACAATCTAACCCTTAAGGTTGTTCAGTGGCTGAGCTTAACATCTGGTAATCCAAAATTTTTAGGTTAAATACTTCTCATATTGGCTAAGGACCAATCATCCTTAAAAGGGTCGATTGGCTAAATATGCCACTCTCACCCTTTGTTGGTGAGTGCTGTATGGCTATCAAACATATGGCCGACAATATTTGTGGACCTTCATAGGGTTGGCTCACTTGGCCGACCCTCTTCACAAAAAAAAAAAAGAAAAAGAAAGGGATCAATCATCCTTGTTCTTTGTTCTTATGCTTTAAATCCGTTCGGCTACGGTGGCTAGTATCCAAGCTCGAAGAAGTAGTCGGCGCAAGTTTGGATACTCTATTATAAAACATAAAAATAAAAAGTTTATGACAATCTCTAGCTATAATAATAATAATAATAATAATAATTAAATTGTATTATATTATAATTATTATTCAGTGGGCAAAAATTAAATTAGTTTTTTGACATTTTAAGATGATGATTTTGTAGATATGGGTAGTAGGAGATGGATTGACAGAAGAAGATCAATTGAAGGCACCAAAAGGAACAATATTCATTCCATTCTCACAATTCCCTCCAAAGAAGATCCGGAAGGACTGTTTCTACTACAATACTCCCGCAATGTTGACTCCCAAGTATCTTGAGAATGTCGACTCTTGTGAGGTTAGAACTTAAAACTATTTTTATCTTTGCATTCAATATTTTGGGTATTCAAGAATACCTAAGATTGTTAAACAATCCAACTAACTCAAGATCGTGTCAATTTTGGATTGTTGGGCTCAATTAAATTGCTTAATGAACCGAATTTGATCATAAATCTAAGCTCATTTTGTAAAGGAGCGGAATCCAAACAAAGGGTGACTTTGCTCAGATCGGGTAGGGTTAGCTCAAATATGTTCTTGTCCAAACAAGCCCGTGCACGTTTAAAAAATGAACAACCTCAAACTTATTTTAGAATAGCTTCAGACCATATAAGTTTCTACCTCCCTCATATTTCTAATAGATTTTGTGAAATTCGAACTTTTAGGGTTTAATTATATGGTCATACTGATTTTGGGAAATTTTTGGGGAGATATTAAGTATAAGGTTTAATTCTTAAAAATTATTAGTGAAAATTCGAGCTCAATCGATTTTACCATGAGTTTGGTTCATAAGTTTCTGCTGATTTGAGTTTCGACAAGAATCTAAGTTCGACTCTTAGAAACTCGAGCTTGACCAATTACACTCGAACAAAATTTGTATATAGTCAATTGAATAATCTCAACACTCAAGTTCTAGCTCTACCAATCACAACCGAGTTGAATATGGACATACCCGACTCCATAAGCTCGGTTTGATTAACATCCCATAACAAAAGAGTGTACATGCTTTTACTAATTTGTCCTCCATCTATTTGTTACAGAACTGGTTGCCAAGGAGGGTGATGAGTGCATGTCGTGTAGCTGGGATATTGCATGCATTGGAAGGCTGGAATGTGCATGAGTGTGGCAACATGATGTTCAACATTGACAAAGTTTGGGAAGCCAGTCTTCAACATGGGTTTCGCCCTTTGATGATGTCCTCTGAAACAAAGCCTTGATCGCATCACCACCTTTTTTTATATATATAACGGTCAGGAGTATTTAAGTTAGTTTAGGCGTACCTAGACTAATTCACTCTCTAGTCCGAGGAGGAGATTAATTCTCTATCTTGCAAATGTTCACTGAACTATGATCTTGTGTTTCATAAGATCATTCTATGCATTTATACTCACCTATGTTTTGTTTTTATATATATATGTTGTTTTTCTATATCAATATCATATATTATATAAAGAACTAAATAAGACTTCTTAAGAAAATGTTTCTCTTTCCCATCCCTTTTTCGAGATTCAGATTTCTTTCAATATAGTTTTTTCCCAATTTATCTTAGTGGATTGCTATTCTAGTTAAGTATATGACAGGCGATCTACTATTTAGTCAAATTAAGTGAAGTATATAGAAAGAAATCCAAATCTCATTTTTCCGATCTCTTAATATTAACTTTAGAGATGACAATGTGGACTAAGGTCTAATGTAAACCCGTTTTTCATGGTTTGGCTGTAATCTTTATGATACAAAGTCGAAGACTTGACATATTGATTATATCATGCATTTATAGCTTTCCATTCTCGTTCGCTTTATGAGTACTAGCAATGCAATATGTGTTAGCACGTGAATAAATTTACGTACATAGTAAAAAATTGTCATCAAATCTATAAAACAATAAAATAAATTAGGTATATAATTAAGTGGTGAATTAGATCAAGAATGCAGGAAATAATAGTATGTTTACATTTCATTTTTGGGTATTGAAAAAGACTGAACCGTCCATGCAGATTCATGTAAAAAGCTTGAACTTTAAAAAAAGATTTTAAGTGATTTATTGATTGGCATTTAGTCATACTAAGAGCTCTCCCTCTCGCTCTCTCTCTCTCTCTTGTTTGGTATAGTTGGGCAAGTGATGCTTTTTCAAAGAGAAATATTCACACAAAGGTGACTAAAATCAATTATATTGTGACAATCTACCAAAGGGTCTTTAAAGGGATAGACATACATGCAAATGCCTCTAGTACTATCACTGTGAAACCATCCAACGTGAGCCATAGACATATGTTTCCATAATTATGCAACATGGTAGATAACCACGAATGGTGATGAGTTTTTGTGTTGAAACTGGGATTGGTGCGTTTCACGTCATGACGTTTGTCGTGTTATCTTGAATTGTGACAGGTTTATATTAATAAAAAAACCATTTTATCTCAAAAGTAATACATATAATATCAAATCAAAAATCAGATGTTCCCTTATCGCAATATTAGTTAAATAGGTTATTTGCGTCCAATATAAACCCGACCCATTTGTCGTTAACTTTAGTTATTCTGGTCATTTTTGAGTTCATCTCACGTCAGGTTCCTGTTAACATATAAAATTGACGTCGTTAAGCACATGCCTTAGAATTGAGAAAAATTGGCAAGGTAGCTAACCTTCAACATGTCGGACATCATGACCTGATCATAAAAAGTTGTCAAGATTCAACCTCAGAACGTCTGAATTTACAACTCGTCTCTGTTGTCACTTGAGCTATCATGTAATTCAGGCACATAATATTCAACATATGGCTCTTAGCACCATAAATCTTTGACAAAAACTCGGGATAAAATCAAAAACTAGGGCGGTCCGGTATATGTTGAGGCTCAAAATGACAAATCTAATTGAGACCTTCTAATTTTTTTTAATACTAAAATGTTTTGTTAAAAAAATTATCTTGCCTGTTCAAATGCACTCAAATTATTGTATTTCAAATCTTGTTATCATAGCTTATCAATAACTAATATATCTTAAATGAAAATGAAATTAGTGCCGATGAGTGAGAGAGAGAGAGGTAGTGTGATTGAGAGAGAGAGAGAGATTGATTTGTACGGTTTCGGTTTTTGTTTTGTTTTTTTTTTCTTTTGCATGATTTTATGAAATTTTTTTGTGGGCAGATTTTTGTATGGGTATAGACCATTGAACATAGAATTTTCTTGTTGGCTTAAGTTTTATAAGGTCATTTTGGTACGACCTTAGTCACATAATCCTTTAAAACTCTTCATGCTCTTTGGGAGTGAATTTTCCGTTTGACTATAATATTAAGGGTTTAGAGTTTAAACCTTTGTGCTATGAACATATGAAATATTGGGCATTTATTATAAGTGAGGCCTAAAACCCACACTTATTTACTTTTCCTATTGGGCCCGACCTGGTGAAAACTGTCTCAATCACGTGCTATTTATAATTGTTACTTTGTTACAACATATGTATATAAAAGATACACACAATCAGGGGTGGTGGGCCAACATTTTCTCACAATGGAGATAATCTAAAATTTATAATAAATTTAGAACTTCATGGTAACATTATTCTCCTGAAAATATTAAAATTTAGACTTTTTTTATATTTACATTTTGATTAAAAAAACACGAATCGAATCAAAAGACTTCATTTGCAAACCATACCCATATCACATGTTGCAAACAATAAAAGTAGTAGTATTTATGAAATAATTGTTTGGTATAGTGTAACACAAGAAGACTTATCATGTTTATAAATTGATTTTCAAGAAAGATTCGCATGACTACTAGTTTGGTGGTTGAAATTATGGATCCTAAGAGATGATCTTCTACTAGCTATAACACCTTTTTTATCCCTGATCGTTGAACCAACAAAAAAAAAATAAGAGAGAGAGAGAGAGAATTGTTGATAACTATAAATTTCGTATCTAATTTATCAATAAATTTGTACATGTACTCTTTTAAGGTATGAGATCTAAATCAAATAAACTTTTATACCATGTAGTCCAAACCAACGAATATAGGATATCGATACGAAACGATACGGATACAGGAATACGAAAAAATCTAAAAAAATAAAATACGAGTACGGTCAAGAAACAACTATAATAAAATATATTTAATATTTTTATTATTTTGAACCAACTTAATACTTATATGTTTTGGTAATTCTTTAATACAATTAAAAAAATTAGCAATTCTTTTTAGTTTCAAAAAAATATGTCGTATCACTATGGTATATTCACAAAGTAAAGTGATTAATTAAAGGAATCAAAACTAATATTTATCGAGTCATATTTATTTAGAAGTAATTTTTGCTCAGATTATAATGTAGTAGATTTATTTTATGCTCTTTTGACATGTAATTGTAGATAATATTTAAAAAATACTCATGTGTCTTTGAAGTAATATGAATTTTTGCTAATGTATTATATGATATGTGAATTTGAAAGGAAATGTTAAAAATTCAACTCAAAAATTATATATGTTGCTTGCATACAAAAATATCCGTGAAGTATCCTAATATTTAATTATTATCGGATACATAAAAGGTGTATCAAATACATATTTTCGAGTATCCGACAAATATCGTATTAAATACGATATCCAATACAGGTACGTTGATTTCAACGAAATATTTGTAACTAATTTTTCTCTTTTTAATATCACACCCAACTCCGTGTCTTGCACTTCGCCCAACCAAAGCCGAATAAGAGCCATTATCTTTCTCACGGGTAAAATACAACTCTTATTCCATAGAAATCGATCATCACCGCCCACTACCACCAACAGTGAACTTAAAAGTGGTGAATTAAAAAATCTAGCTCTTCTTCCATCCACGGTATATAATAAAACACAAAATTTAATGATATCGTCGGTGTCTCAATGTCAAGAGACAGCCCAAATAAATCTTTCCTAGTACTGTACTGAAACATTGGACTAATAAATGTCTGATATTTCATAGTATATAAATGTAAGACATAAATGTCCGAAAAAAGTTGGTCCAAGAAAGTTAATTCAGATTAGTATTGTTTCCTTAAATTACAGATCACTCGTTTGGACATGATTGAGATACGCCAACCACCCCCAAAATTACCCAAATTTGAGGAAGAGCACATGCTTCATGCCAGATTATATTCCATTAAGGCAGGCACCTCATGAAAATCAACTATAATGCGTCTGTTTGGAACTAGTTTTTTTGGGATGTGAAACAGAAGTTTAAAAAATAAAATAAAATAAAATAATCATAATTAAAAAACACACTTGAAACCGTTTGGAGTATTTTTGAAAAAAAAAAAACAATTTTTCCTTGAAACTTTTGGATAAGCTATATTTTTCAATTTTTCCATAGTGCTGATAAATGCTATTTTTGCCCAAAAAGCTAATGAAAAAACCGTCCAATAAACCCGGATCCAAATGAACCAAACTTCTTTTCCTCAAACCAAAAAAAACTAAGGTTTTTAGCCAACTCCAAACATACCCAATAATAATTGAGTGATGCTATTGAGACTTAAAAAATTGACCTAATGATGCGACAGTGACATAATCCAATAGTATTATTATAACTATAATTGCTAGACTTTTGTATAGAACTTTGTTAGTTTATACATCATTAAGTCGATAAGTTAGATCATTTTTTTTAATTACGTCCCGATAACAATAATTATATTAGTCTGTTAGACTGTTACAGCTAGGTACGCACTGATGTGACTTGTGGCACCAAGTTTTTGCCATATTCACTGAAGGGCTCCTCTATATAAGGCCTCTTTGAGGCAACCCATTTCGTATGGTAAACAAAGCAGCAAAGAATGGCTTCAAAACCAGGATTGCTCACTGACTGGCCATGGAAGCAGCTTGGAAGCTTTAAGGTACTTCCCCTTTTGCCCAATCTCTGATTTCTTATTCGTTTAAAAGCACAATCGAGAGGACAAGACAAGACTCTCACCTAAACACAATCGAGAGGACAAGACAAGACTCTCACCACTACGGGGTCTGCAAAGAGTCATACATAAACGTACGACGATCTCTCTTCATGCACAAATTCAGATTTTTTGTTGCAAGCCAAATTCCTAAAACAGTGTTTTGATGAGAATTTGATGTACGTTTTTAGTTCGGCCAATCAGCCTTACGTACCCATTATACTATTCAACATGGAGAATATTATTTGTACTTAATTTGCTGTTCTAATCTAGATACCTAGATAATTATATATGTTGGATAAAAAGTAAATTTCATCTAAAATGGAAACTTACCACTAATTCAATCACTGTAACGAATTAAGTCATTGATGAATTAGCTCCTCAAATTAAGTCTTCATTGTGTTGTTCATTCATCATATGGATTATTATGGTAGTTTTGTACCATTAAGTAGCATATTAAGAGAGAGAATGAAACTTTGGGAAGCCATGTCTTCCTCCAACTTCAAGTTAGCTGGAAAAGGGAAAAAAAAAAGTACAAGTAACATGAAGGTGGTGGTTGATATATATATGCCATGAGGAAATGCATCTTTATTAACTCTCTCTCTCTCTCTCTCTCTGTGGCCAGTTGGTAAGCATGGTTTTATATAATGCAATTAGTAATTGACATGCTAGTCTACACTTCCTAATAAACAATGAAAGTATGTGAAGATTAAACACAAATGACAACTTCATAACAACCCCTATAAAGAGTTCATGCCCATTTTAAGTCGTACAAGAGTATTACAATACCCAAAAAAAGAGAGCACATAGAACGATTAATAGCAAGATTAAAAGCTTGATGACCTGAAAAATTAATACCAAGATTAAAACCTCCAGAACGAAATGGCCGCAATTCTCGTAGAAGACATCTCGATTGATCCAATATGGCGATATCCATATATAGTTTGTGAAATCTGGAAGTTACATAATAGTTGCGAGTCTAAGATAACGTTTTCGGGTTTTTTGAAAAATGTTGTGCTTACATGATGTTGTTCGATGTTGGGTGAAGTATGTGATTTTGGCACCGTGGGTGGTTCGTAGCATGTATTTGTTTAGTTTGAAAGGAGAAGGAGAGAGAGACCTGACCAGCTTTCTCATACTACCGTTTCTATTGTGGAGGATGCTACACAACCAGATTTGGATTTCTCTCTCTCGTCATCGAACAGCTAAAGGAAATAACAGGATCGTTGACAAGAGTATTGAATTCGAGCAAGTTGACAGAGAGAGTAACTGGTCTGTATAACACTCTCTCTCTCCCTCCCTCCCTCTCTCTCTCTCACACACACACACATACACACTCTCTCTCTCTCTCATACCCACATGATGCGATTGTATGATATTTACATAGTTCGTCTATAAAAATTCTATCTATGTCCACAGTACCAAGCACGGATGTTTCGATCTACACGTATGAAATAATTAATAAAATATTTATCATTATTGGATAATTGTCGGATACGCGTATCTCCACGATGGATACATCTGCCTTATATTTAGTGAGATGTTTTGTGTAAGAAACCATAAATAACACAAATGGGAATTCCTTATTTCAAGATGTTCATTTAGACATATATCACATATTTCACAAGTTTTGTGAAATTTTTACAATTTGTTTGACCTGAATAATGAGTTTGTATGGCTCGTGTCAAACCCATTGAAGTCTATTGCAATTAAAAGCCAAGTAAAAGTTGAGGATTCTCAAGAGAAAAAACATGTTCAACCTTAGAATTACGTAGAATATTGGACTCAAAACACCATTAAACCGTCCCTATGTCAATTACATTCTTGGTCTCTCATATAAAGTGGACAAAAAGGATAGACACCAAAATTTACTACACAACCCATGTCACTCTCTTTACTTTCTTTTTTTTTTTTTGCAAACTTTGGAATAAGTTTTAGGGTGCACACTCATGTCGTATCGTTGGTGTTGGCAGGGATGACCAGATATTGTTTAATGGAATTATATTTTACATCGCAAGCATGGTAATCCCGGGAACTTCTAACATGCCCATTTGGAGAACAGATGGCGGTATCATCATAACCTTGCTTCATATCGGTCCTGTAGAGTATCTCTACTACTGGCTTCACCGAGCACTGCACCACCACTACCTCTACTCTCGCTACCACTCCCACCACCATTCCTCCATAGTCACCGAGCCCATCACATGTAAAAATAATATCACTCTATTTCATTTACTCTTTTACACTTTTTATAAAATAAATTTTTAAAAAATTGGATCATTAAGTGTTTACCATCTAATTCGTGTAATTTTTTTTTTTTGGCAGCTGTTATTCATCCATTTGCAGAGCATATAGCATATTTTTTGCTCTTTGCAATACCAATTTTGACGACAATTGCAACTGGGACGGCCTCGGTTCTAGCCATCTTTGGTTACGTCACTTACATTGATCTTATGAACAACATGGGTCACTGCAACTTTGAGTTGATTCCTATGAAGATTTTCTCCAACTTTCCCCCTCTCAAGTACATGATGTATACACCTTCGTAAGTATCGTAACTTGTTAAAGCATTTATAGGCGTTCGATCCATGAATGTAAGTCTTATGGGTTGAACCAAGTTATAACTGTGGTGTTTTTTTTTTTTTTTTAATCAAAGTTGTTTTCATCCAACAGATACCACTCTCTTCATCACACCCAATTCCGGACCAATTACTCACTGTTCATGCCTATCTACGACTACATCTATGGTACCATGGACAAGTCCACCGATATATTATTTGAAACTTCACTACGACGTCAAGAAGAGTCTCCCGACGTTGTTCACCTCACCCATCTAACTACGCCAGACTCAATCTACCATTTGCGTCTAGGTTTCTCATCACTTGCCTCCGAACCTCAGGATTCCAAATGGTACCTCTGGTTAATTTGGCCAGTAACGTATTGGTCCATGATCATGGCTGCCATCTATGGCCGTACATTCATTTTGGAAAGGAATGCTTTTGAGGAGAAACTCAAGCTACAGTCATGGGCAGTACCAAGATACAGTGTACAAGTAAGAATTATTTTATGGCTCTCTCTCTTTTAGTTATCTTTCATTTTTTGTGGGAAATATCTATGGTAGTAGTTCAGTACCTCGTGAAAATATTGTTTGAAACAAGTTACGAACAATGAAGTCAGAGTTATGACTCAAACAAGATAACACCATAACTTAAATAGTTTTGGATCAATTCCAAAAACTTAATTAGGATCGATAATCGATCTCAGTGGAAAATTGACATGTTTGAGTACCTGATTTTCTAGCAAATTTAGAATATCCATTGTTCTGCAGGTTGTTTCTACAACTGGTATTCTTTTACCTCTCAAAACTTTGACTAACTCATCTGTATTCTTCAGTACTACTTCAAATGGCAAAGAGAATCTATCAATGGGCTGATTGAAGAGGCCATACTAGAAGCAGAGGCAAGAGGCATTAAAGTCTTAAGTCTAGGTCTTTTGAACCAGGCCAGTTTGTGCTCTAAGCTCCAAAACTATTTCTTAGTATCTGTTATTTTTTCCAATTTTCCCCTCAATCAAATAATTTCATATTTTGCAGGGAGAGGAACTCAACAGAAATGGAGAGATATACATCCAAAGGTACCCTCAGCTAAATGTGAAAGTGGTGGATGGGAGTAGCTTGGCAGTTGGTGTTGTTCTCAATAGCATCCCAAAAGGAACAACTCAAGTTCTTCTAAGAGGCAGACTTTCTAAGGTTGCTTATTCCATTGCTTCTGCATTGTGCCAAATGGGTATAGAGGTATGTCTGCCAGTTAATAATCATTCAATTCATTGCTGCCCAACTCAAGATGTGTTCCACCACACGTGCTTTGGGCTCACACTAACCTAAATGAAACTAGCCCAAACTCATTGTTGGAAATAATGAGTTCGAGTCACGAAAGTAGTCTCTCGTACATAGTGTAAGATTACGTACATTTGACTCCTCCCAAACCCTAAAGTAGAGAGAGCTAACCTCTTGCACTGGTTTAACCTTCTCGTCAATGAAGACGACGACTGGTTTCCTATACTTGTCGAGTTCAAGTATGGCCCAGCCAAACAAATACTTCGAGACAAACCTACTGCATGTGGAGCAAAAAATCCTTTTATGAATCACAGATCCAGCTGATTTTATCTGGTCCTATCAGACCCAACTTGTTTGGATGGTAGAACGGGGAGAGGGGGAGTTGTGCCCATTCTCTCTCCGGGCACGAGGCAGGAACATCAAAAAATGTACACCTAATTCTGCCTTGGAATAAGTACATAAATAGCTTCTCCATATACTATAATAAGAATACGTAGATCTAATCCTTCCTAGGTCTCAAAATAATAGAAATTTTGCTCACTACACTATTATTCTATTGTGAATGAATAAAGGTTTCATAATATTCTAACACTAGTTACTATTATGTCAGGTGGCTACCTTATATGAAGATGAGTATGAGAAGCTTAAGCTAACCACCAACTCTCAAAGTAGTTTGCTACTCTCAAGGACTTATGCTCAGAAGGTAAATCTTTTAAGGTCAATTTATTCTTGCTAACCTAACCCTTCTACCCTAATCATCTGAAAAAACATTTATATATTTTCACAACATTTTTTTCAAGTTATCTTATTGAAACAAAAAATACAATTTCATCAACACACACACACACACACACACACACATATACACTTAATTTTGTACATAATTATTCTACTACACATTTAATTAAGCTTAGAGAAAGAGAGCAAACTCAAATAAGAAAAACGAATTAAAAAAAGTATTAGTCCTTAAAAAGTGTTATCAAACCATACTTCACTATTTAATTATAAAATGAATAAAACAATGTGAGAGAAGTTTAATGCCACAATTTGTTGAAACATATATATATATATACACACACACACACACTTAGTTTTGTACATAATTATTCTACTACACATTTAATTAAGCTTAGAGCAAGAGAGCAAACTCAAATAAGAAAAACGAATTAAAAAAAGTATTAGTCCTTAAAAAGTGTTATCAAACCATACTTCACTATTTAATTATAAAATGAATAAAACAACGTGAGAGAAGTTTAATGTCACAATTTGTTGATATATATATATATATATATATATATATATATATATATATATATATATATATATGACAATGAATTTCCACAGACATGGTTAGTGGGAGATGGATTGACGGAGGAAGAACAGTTGAAGGCATCAAAAGGAACATTGTTCATTCCTTTCTCACAATTTCCTCCAAAGAAAATCCGCCATGACTGCTTCTACCAGTACACACCAGCAATGGGTACCCCCATGTCTCTCGAGAATTTGCACTCATGTGAGGTTAGTGACTTCAATTCTTTTGAAACTCATTAAGTTCTATAGAATTCCTTTTGTGGTCTTTTCTGAAATCTTTCCATGGTGAAAAAATATTTAAAAGTCTAAGGACCACACTTGTTTTCGGCTTATTTTAAGAAGTATTTGTAATCTTAGCCGTTTACCGATAATTTCTACCATTGCGTTTTGCTTGTCATGAACATCCACTTTCGAGTCAATTCACGACACCATCTGTAAGAATAATGTCTTTTTTTGCATCAGCAGACTTTGTGTCCACATAATTTATACTTACACAAGTTTTTCTATATGATAATATGTATTTCATCATTGAATAGATTCATCTTTATTTGAGCAATGATGTTTTGTGACAGAACTGGTTGCCAAGGAGAGTAATGAGTGCTTGGAGGATAGCTGGGATAGTACATGCCTTAGAAGGATGGAATGTTCATGAGTGTGGAAATAAGGTTTTCAACATTGACAAAGTTTGGGAAGCCAGTCTTAAACATGGTTTCAAACCTTTGGTGACGGCCTCTTAACCTAAGATTTAATGCATGTTATCTATTCTACAACCATGAAATATCACAATTATTACTATTTATGTATTTTGTTGAATGCACAATTTATAGCATAATCGTTATATGAGTAAAGTTGTGTACACTACATTTTAAGGCTAAATTTCTTGTACCAAATGATGGGGGACAATAACGAGCATTGGATGTTTAGTGAAAATCGGTAGAACCACTACTCTAACAACTCAAGTTAATTTAATGCAAGAAATTTTGAATAACAAAAATTTAGTGAGTGTATCATTGTTGTTAAGATATTAATTGGATTAAGATTTTCTTTAGCATTTTTTTTTTAATTTTTCTCAATGGTAAATCATCTACATTATCAATGTATTCTACCTATACTCCCACTTATTGGTATATTTTTAGTCATACAAAATAAAAAAGGCTCTCAAGTGCTGCTTTTGATGTGTCATATAAACAACATGAATTATATTTTTTGGACATCAATAAATTAAGTTAAATTTTTAGTTTTCAATATACTACTCTAACAACATTAGGTAAAATAACAGTATTAAACTCTAGTAAACAACATAAAAATAGTAATTTAAATGTTAAGGAACTTCTAGTGTTATTACTTAAACCAAATTACATCATAACCTCCTCTAACTAACTTATAAACGTAACCTTATCTTCTATTAACTTTTCATACTTCACCCAATTCAGTAAAGGGCCAAAATGCTGCCAAAGGGACAGAAGTTGGCACCAACCTTCCAGTTCCTTTTACTAGGTTAGGGAGCCATCTCCAGTGGCGATGATTGATGATGGGCGTGATCCATAGCCGATGTTGGCTAGAAGCAATAACAGTTGGAGCACCGGCTAAAAAAAGTTGATAATGAGAGAGAACAGTTATTTTTATTTTAAAAATTGAAATACCCAATAAGTATCAATAAAGAAGAATCTGGATATAGATATATTACAAGACGAACAAGGACACCCCAACCCTAGCAAACAACGATACCATGAAAAAGGAATAAACGATAGAGCTACATTTTTATTTCATTATTTGCTATGGGTTTTTGAAGCATCAAATTATATCATGCAATTATGTGGCACAGAAGGGAGGGAAGATCAATCTCCCCCTACTAAAGACAGAATGGCTGCCCTCATGTCTATGCATACTAGGTACAATTAAAGACACACAACACAGACCAAAATGGATTCATTCATGCAAAGGCAAATCCATATATGCTTAAATGATTTGATAGTGTGATGGTTATCAATATAACAGTGGCATCGTTAGCTAGACACGCACCTGTGAGCAGAGGCAACTTTGTTCGTGTGTGCATCTCTAAATAAGTTGAGACGCCATTTCCTCCTAGCAAATATGAGAGCAGCAGCATTTCTGTGAGTTTAGTGCCAGAAACAGCTCTAAATATTTTGAGAGGCCATTTCCTCCTGGCAAATATGAAAGCAGCCACATTTCTGTGAGTTTACTGCCAGAAACAGTTGTTGTATTGAGAATGACCCGGACAAAGCCATGCACTGAAGAAGATCTTCCAAGAAAATAGGACCTGCTCAGATATTCAAGGCAACCTTTGGCCTAGGGTACATTGCATTGCTTATGCCATAATGTACTGATATCAGAGCCGTCAATAAGTTTAGCTTTGTCAACTGATGATGTATGTCACCCATAAGGTTTAAAAGTCAGCTCAGTTCAGCCATTTAAAGGCCACAATCCAAGCTCAATTTCCATGCTATATCCTCCCTTCATTCTCAGTCAAACCATTTGAGACGACCTGTGGCCCTTGGTGGTGTTTTTCATCAATTTTTATTATGCATGACAAGGAATTCCACTGGGCCCTTAACAAACATCACCATTGGGAAGCAGAATATCACAAATCAGGACGCCCATAACCAAGGGTTGATTTGTCACTTCAGTTCTCAAACATGAGATCATTGACTTGGTTGATGCCAATATCAGCTATGGGTTCAATGGGCTGCTCATGTTTTTCTGCCGAAAAGACAAAGCTAAAAGGATCCCAGCTGAATTCATCTGCAAAACAGAGCAGAAAAAGATAACGTAAAGAATTCATACGCCAAACCCACTCTGAAGCCATTTGCACATCTAACTGCATGAGAAATTTTGCATTATGTCAACAAAACCATACCAATCTGGAAAAAAATTCTCAAAAAAGGAGGACCTCTTGAAATTGAAAGCATAACCTTGAAATGAACTTCAAAGCTTACCAAACATTGTGCTGTAGGAAGTTGGATGAGGGGTTGCCAAGAAGTTGAGTCCAGTGTAAAATCCAATTGCAAATACCACTGTCACCATAGCAGAAGCTGGAACCGCTAATGCCCAGTACCTGAAAAAGGGAAGCAATATTCTAACAGCATAATAACAGAGAATAATTCCATTGCAAGTCTCATGGGGGTTGATTCGCAAATTTCTCAATGACTTTCTGGACTTGAATCTAAATTGTTCAAATTTTCAGATTTGTACCACCAAATTTGTTCGATTTGTTCTTTGTGTAGTTCACCAAAGAATATCCCAAATTATCAAAGTACACATTCAAACTTTTAGCGTAGTTTGTTTGAAGTATAAAGTTGTCACTCTTCCACTTTTCTTTTAACTGGACTTCTTTATGTCGAAATTTAATCATGCACAATCAACCAGGAACCTTTACTGAGGTTATGCAACCAAAGGTGTTATTAAAACCACGAGAAAGGAACTCAGCAACTCACTAAAGCTAAGGAACTGAAAATAAACCAACATGGTTCTCGATACTGACCTGCTAGGGTAGTAAAATATCCCAACAGAATGCAGCCAACTCTCAGGAACATATGCCCATACCAGGAAAATAACTGCTTCACAGAAAATAATGAGTTGCATAAGACTTTCAGAAGGCACCAAATCATGTGATTAAACCCTAGTAGTGGTATATGATCATAATCTGCGAATCGAGGACATCAAAATTGTGAAGTAACCAAAACATTTCAATGTAATAAGGACTTCAATTGCCAACTAGTGGGAACCAGCAAGAGGCCAAAAAAAAAAGCAGTACCGCCTCAATATCAAAGCAATGTGTCTGCCATAAAATCTATTCATCAGATTCCATCGAATATGTTCTGCCGGATGAGTGATACTTTCAAGTTTCAACTTTTTATTATATGAATCAATTTACCAGAAGTGATCCATCAATGCAGTCAATTTGAACAAATTTTATGATTGAATCAGAACAAATGCGTAGTGGCATCACTCTTAGTTTTACATGGCTGCATGTTCTGTAACATGCCAGAAGTGACCAAGCATCAGCAGTGCATCAGGCCTAGAAAGCATAATTGTCTAATTCACAGTACAACAGAAATCATACATGAATCCAGAATATTATATATAGAAACATACCGAAGTTGTTTATTCTATCATAGCAAAATCCAATCTAAAGATGCTTAAAGACAGAAAATTGAAACAATCTCAAATAATACATGAATTCAGAAAATTACGCATAGAAACATACCGAAATTGTTTATTCTAGCACAGCAAATCCAATCAAAAGATGCTTACAAACAGGGGCGGAGCTACTGCTGGTCTTAGGTGCCCACCTGAATTTTTTTTTTGCATTACCTATATGTGTTTTGTTCTTGCCCTCTAAGTGCTCCAAGTTGTGCCCACCCAAAACAAACCAAAAAATTTGAGTTCACTCAAAACAATCCACTAAATTGGTTCCATTAACTCTTAGATTTTTTAAAATTACGGCTTGAGTTACGATTAGAAATTGTAATTTGACATTTTTCTATTCCAATTTGCTTGAATTCTTTGGTTCGTTGTGTACTTATATTTGCTTTCTATTATAATTTCTCTTTTAATATATTAACGATAAATTTAAAATAGAAATTGTATTTTCTACTTGTATTTGCTTCGTGCTACAATTGCTTCATACTCATTCTTTTTATTAATTATTTGAAACAATTATGGAGAAATACTTTAAAAAGTCTATTATGGAGAAATACTTTAAAAGAAAGTATATTATGGAAAAAAACTTTAAAAGAAAGTCTGAGTTAAAGTTATTACCATTAGAGGTGTTAATGAATTTTTTGGTGTTATATATAATTTAAAAAATTTATATGTATCATTTATTCTAACCAATAGGAAATCAAAGCTAGAACTTGCAATTAGTGTTTCACCCTAGTATAAATTTCTAATTATTGCACATCCTAGTATAAATTTCTTGCTCCGCCCCTACTTAGAAAACAGAATAATACATCTATTCCATAGAACTAATGCAACTAGGCCACATCAAATCGACCAAGCATTGATAGAAATTAAAAAGCGAAGAGACATGAGTAGACCTGTGGCAACGAGAGTTGAAATGGACCCTACAAATCCATAAACTTCTGAGGGCTTGGGGCCACGCTCTCCAGAAACACAAAACCCATAACCCTTTTCATCTGAATCTGGAAAGAACACAGTCTCCCTCTTATTGTTAGAGAAGCCGAAGATCCTTCTGGGACTATTCTCAGAACGACAATCTTCCATTGCCAAATTACAGCCTCACTCCCTTATGAAACAACAATGCCCCCTCCTAACTTGCAGATTATAAACATGATGGTTCTGATCATCTTGGTACCTGGCAACGACAATGAACAAATGAATCTCTCAACAGTATCGTCTGAAACCTAGTGAGAGAAGCGCCAATCAGAATATCTATTTCTTGCAAAAGACTCTAGAGCAACTGGTATTAAGAGAGAGAGAGATGGAGGGAGGGAGGGAGGCAGATAGGAGCAGGGAAAAGGCAAGACAAAGAAGGACACGTGTCATTTATAATTCTTGTCTGCACGGTTTGTATTAGGGTGCAACTCGAGCGGGTTGGACAATCAACTCTAATTCAACCCTAAATATATAACCGTCAACTCTAATTCTAATCCTAACCCTACATCGAGTTAGGGAACTCAATCCGAGCATTGCCCGAGTTTAATTTGGGTGGACTCGGGTTGATAATTTCAGGCTGATTCAGATTATTTTACGGGTTCAATTCGAATAGAGCCAAAAATAGGTTTCTTGTTCTAAACTTAATACATATATTACATAATATTCACCTAAATTAACAACCAATAATTTCAACCAAATTTTTAACAGAGAGGCTGAAAGAATGAGAAAGGCAAAAAGAACGAGCGAGACAGAGAACGATAGAACAAAAATAAAAAATCAGTATTAATGTTTTATATATATATATAAATTTTAATTTGTTGGGTTCAGATTGAATTCGGGTTCACGAGACCTTAATCCAAGCCCAACCAAAATTGAATTCGGGTTGGAGTTTTTTGACTCAACCTCAACCCAAGTATTAAAAACTCTTGCCCAAGCCATAATTTTTTCGGGTTGAAATCAGATTGCCAACCCAAGTTGCACCCCTAGTTTATATTGTATTCGAGCTAAAAATTATTGGAAAAATTTCAATCACACCCCTTCTAGTTTAACATATTTTCAAGGACATCCCTCTATTTTTTGAATCTTCACTAAAACCTCTGTTAGATTAAAAATATTAATTAGAATACAATTTTACTAAATTTCTCATCATATATTTGAGGACAAACTTCATCCACACTCCCTCTAAATAAGCATATCTTCAATGAGACCTCCCTCTGTTAATTTTTTTTACGTATTAAACTTCGGATCGATTAAAATTCGATTAAAGTTAATTAAATTTTTTTTTTACATATTAAAATTTGAGCCTATTAAAAATTATATTTTTTATGTATTAAAATTTGGACTAATTAAAATTATATTTGAACTAATTAAAAATTATTTTTAATCGATTTAAATCAAATTTTAATCAACTCGCACTGAATTTTAATCAACACAAATTTTAATACATAAAAAATATAAATTTTAATTGACTCAAATTTTAATAAATAGAATTTTAATTAACACAAATTTTAATAAGTAAAAAAAATATAAATTTTAGTCAACTCGAAAGCGAATTTTAATTAGTACTAACAACTCAGGTAGATTTCAAATCAACTTAAATTTTAATACGTAAAAAATAAATTTTAATAGGCTCGAATTTAATACGTTAAAAAAAATAAAATTTAATCAGCTTCAATCGAATTTTAATTAGTTCAAATTTTTATACATAGAAAAATAATTTTTAATCGATTCGAATTTTAATAAAATTTTATGTAAAAAAATTACTTGAGGTTTATGTAGAGGTATTTTTTGTTAGAAATGATAATTTAATGGTAGGAGGTATTAGTGATATTTAAATATAAACTAAGAAGGATGTCAGTAATTTTTTTATAATAGATGAGTTATTCTTGAAGATATAGTAAAGTAGAGGGGTGTGGTTGAAATTTTTTTTAAAATTATTTAATTTTAAAATAAGGTGTATAATACTATGTAAAAAGATTAAAAAATAAATACTTATTTTTTTAGTTATAATAACAATCAATCCTGTTATCCGTACATAATTTTATTCTCATTCATTTATTACTTGTTTCGATCGATCATGTTATTTTCAATTATACGTCATACCATATTCGTGTCATGGGTAAAATTATATGTAATGCTAGATCAATTAAAATTAGGCTTGTCAAAATTTAACACGACACTAATTAATGTGAGACCTTAACGGGTTCGGGTGATAAACGGGTTAACCTGTTTAACACGTTTAATAAATGGGTCGTATTCGATGAGACCTGTCAACCCGTTTATCTATTTAAAAAATTAATATAATAAAAAATTAATAATTATTTTAAAATTTTAGTCAGCATTTCTTGCTTCTTTCTTCTCTTTTTCTAGCTTCTACAGATGAGATGAAACTTGATCTGAGCTTGGGAACTGCGGTGGTGGTGCTAGAGGCTGTGGTGGTCTGAGCATTTGGAATTTACACTCGAGCTTATGGCTTATTCAAATGTTTGGAGGAGTTCTTGTTGTCATTCGTCCCCTAGATTCATTCTGTATAAGCCATAAGCTCTAACTGTGATTTTGTTTACTCTGCGGCCCTAAGTGAGTGAACAAGTTGGCCAAAGTTTACTTCTCTCAAGAATGAAGCAGAAGTGAAGCACTTGAAGTAGTTCATTTATATGATCGGTGTGTTTCGATTATTGGTTTATCTGGCTATAAGTGTATATATCATTACCTTCTCTGCGCAGACCATGGTTTGAGCATTGTTCGAGGGTCTCCACAATTAACATAATGAAGGAAGAAGAACACAATAAAAGCGTTTGGATCTACACAGTAAACACAATGAAAGCTTTTGCTTGAATCTACATCGACAAATTTAAATGAATGAGACCTCTCATGCCTATAAAATGCTACATCCCATTTCTTTAGTCATTCAACCTTCTCACTTATTTTTGCAAGTCGCAGCCAACTGAAAATCTTTTAATTAAGATAATTTAGTTGTTGTGGGTAATTAATGGAGTTTAAAATTTTAATAAATAATTTTTTTGGTGTGGGTTAAAATTTTAGTAAAATAATTTTAATAAAATTAAACGTGTTAAACGAGTCGTGTCGTGTTACCCGTTTATCAAACGATTTGTTTTCGTGTTTAAATTTTTTACCTGTTTATTAAACGTGTCGTGTACGGATTTACATATTTTTTACTCGTCACCCGTTTAACTCGACACGTTTACACCCCTAACTAAAACAAGAGATTACCATGAAACCAAATGATGTATTATTAGTTTATTACCATCATAATATAGTTGGTCTAACTATTATTACACCTTTGAAATTTAAAATTTTTTCATTATAGTAATGTCATGTTATTTTTTTTAGTTCAACGGTCAAGGGTGTCCAGGCTAATTCACACGTATCTCGATTAATTTTTTTCTGGTCTGGTAGTCATCCACTTTGATATTAGAATATTCATGAGGGTCGTGGTCTAGTCCCAATGGGTTGTCAGATATTTAAACTCATGACGTTTAAATTTACAATTCGTCTATGTTACTACTTAAACTACCCTTAGATTTGTAATGTCATATCATTTGATCCATAATTTTTGATCTCATTTTAGCATTATTCTAATATAATTTATCTCATTTATATGTTAGTCTTAGCGGAAAATATATATTGAAACAAATTACATAATTAGAGAAATAAATTGGAACAATTAAAAATTTATGGAATAATTTTAAATAAATGTCATAGTTTAGAGGACATATATGAGATTTAGCCTAAAAAAAAGTATAAAAGAACTTTATGTAGGCAACTATGCATATATTCCCATTTTGGTAAAGAGTTAAATTCTATGGAGGAGTAAAGGCATAGGGAATTTGTGAGATGAACCATAGACCACTCCTGGGGAATACAGTTCCTAATAGAGATTAGAGAATCAATTATTGCATGAATCTTTTTTGCTTGGCATGTCACCTACACGTGACAATGGACCACTATACCTATCAACAAATTAGATTTGAATTGAATTATCACGAATTTGAATTTAAATTTGTCAGAAGTATTTGACAATTTTTGTTATTACAATTGGTATCCAAACTCGTTAAAACTCAAAAAAGGACAATTGAATCCGAATAACTCAATTCGATCCTAATTTTAAGAAATTAAATTGTAATTTCAACTTTGGTTATTTAATCACCCCATGTCATAGAAGGTAAGTGGTAGCAAGGGGAGAGAAAATATTGAGAAGTTTTAATGAATTCACCTTTGTCATTGCTACTTACTAGTTATTATTAATAAATGCACGAATAATTACACGTACGATCATTAAATTATGATTATTTTGTCAATTAAATTTTGAATTACTTTTTGTATTAATTGAGCCCATGGGCAGAGTCACATGGAAACCAGGGTGGACACTTGTCCCCCCCCCCCCCCCCCCACTTTTGGATTACCTTAGACGATGATCCATAAAATTAATTTTTTTAAATTTTAATAATAGTTCTAGTCTCTTTTTTTTCTCAATAAATTAGTGGTTGACTAACTTTTAAAAATAAATGTTACTTTTGAATTAAGTCAATCAGATGTAACTATCCCGATCTATTTGTATGTTGACGAAAATATAATATTATTGTTTATCTAACATAATATTTGTTACTTTTTAAGAACAATTTTTAGTTTTTATTCACTATTTTTTTAGTAATAGTAGTCTATAACATAATAAAATACGATTGTATACAAAAGACAAATTAGTAAATTCCAAGGTTTTTCAATTAGAGAATTTCTCTATTAGATCGATAATGATCTCAATTAAATTTTGCAACTAAATAAATAATAATTTTATTACGGAATTATGATTGTGTACATTGATAAAAAATTAATGAAAATTAATTTACATTTAATTCATATACAAAATTTTAGAGATTTTAAAAAAATTATATTTTATTGAAATATATAATTAGGTTAAAATATACTAAAAAAATTATTTTGTATCTTTTTGTTAGGATCTTGTTTCAGCTAAATAAAAATTGAATATATATTTTAAAATAATTTTGTCTTGATTCTTACTCTTTTGTAATTCTTGAACTATTGTTTTTGTATCAATTTCAACTAGATATTTTTTTGTATCAATTATATTTTGCCTCTTCATAGATATTCTTGGTTTCGTCCTTGATTGAGCTTTTGAACTTTTTAATTGTATCAATTGAACGATTTTATCAATTAAATCTCTGTCATTTTATGTCAATTAGAGGGTTTTAAGTATTCTTTAAATCACTTATTTAATAAATAAATAGACCAACATAACATAATTAATAAACAAATAAGATATTGGCGAAGTAAATGAAAAATAATACACATCAAGACTTGTATTAATACGGTTGGTTAGACACAAATTGATAGAGCACTATTTGCCGCCCGTTAAAATTCGACACCGCCCCGCTTCAATTTACTGGCCTAATTTGAAGTCGCCCTCTCTCTCTCTCTCTCTCCCTCCATAAATAAGACAACACCCTCCAGCAGCCGTCGCACCTTGTCTTCTTCCCTCTGAGTTCTGTTTACCTCCCGATCCTCTCTCTGTACAAATCTCTCTCTCTCTCTCTTCAAATTCACTTCGCAAACAAGCTTCTTCCTGAAAAGTGAGTCTCGGATCAGGTTATCTGCATTCTCTTATTGTCCGATCCAATGCTATTTCTCTCTCTCATTGTCAGATCAGTCTCTAATCGTATGATTGATATTGATGAATTTGACCTTCTCGAGTTTGTGAATTGATTTGCACTTAATTGAAGCTTGATCAAGGTGATGTTGAATTGGGTCTCTGTGTATTGCACTAGGCGCCCAAATAAGTTTCAACCTCATCCCTATTTCATCCACCACGATCTGATATTAACTCTGCCTCTTTAGCAGAGCTAACCCGGAATTTTTGCCCATTTCCACCCAACCCAAAGTGAAATTTAACAAAATGAAAACATGGTCTTGTTTGGACGCTTTTTGCATCAACCAAAGTGGTTTGATTGGGATTTTACATTTTATACTGCGATAGAGAACAAGTTTGAAAGATGCATCTGAACAGCCCAGAAAATTGCTTTTATTATTGATCTTTATTTTTTGACTTGCCTTCTGGATTTTGTGCAGATATAATTTTACAACAGAAGTTTGTTGGCATCCATGGGGACTGCTATTGATGCTTCAAACAAGGTACATGATTGCAAGATTCTATGTATCTTGGCCACATTCAAGCTGTTAGGGACCGTGATTCGTGACGATCGAGCAATGATATCTCCGTTTGAACTTCACTTAATTCGATACAAACCAGACTAGATGTAGTGACACAATCAGTGTTTACTTAGAAATTTTTACCATCAATGGTGTTTTTCTGTTGGCCATGCTGAGACTTACACTGAAACATGCTAAGTGAATATGTTTTCATCGAGAGCCAAAAGAAGAATCATTGGACATGTTGGCCCAATTCCAAAAAATTCAGGTTCAGAATTGATAATTTTTTGTTAATGAGATTCATTCCTTTTGAAGAATTGGCTATTGGCATACTATCAATGAATTCGTTGCAAGTCTGATAAAGTTTGAGAGTCATATTCAAAATCCAAAATTTGAACTTTTGAATTTGGATGAAAAGTAGAAAATGGAGTAGATTGTAATTCAGATTTAATTTTTGTATTGACTTCAAGAAGAATCATTGGAACCTTGAACGTGGCCCATAATGTTTGGTAAACTCTTAGAGCTTCTAAGCATTAGTGTTTCTCTTACATGCTACTCTTTCAAAGTTTGATATTCACAAACACACATCACCTTTACTCTAAACCTTGAGCTGACCAATATATTTGGTTGCAGGTTCAAAATGGAAGCTCACTAGTTGAGAAGAAGCTCAAGGTTGTTTTTGTCCTGGGTGAGCGCTTTGGTTGTCTCTTATCTTCTACTTGTGTGCATGGTGCTATTTCTTGGATACCACATCATTCTTCCTTACTGGTGCAATAATATGTTCCAACCCGTCTAAGTCAGTTCTCTTTTAAGTTTACTTGCGATTGATGCTACTTCCACTCTTTCAAGACTATGCTTATTTCTAATTCTGTACTCTCTAGTTTTACTATATTTTGTTGAACATCCGTTTTTGTCCTCATCATCCTTTATCAATTGTTTGGAATTAAGTATTCAACTACCAAAGCATCGAGTTTAAGAGGTTTTGATTTAATCAGTAATAATGAAAAGGTCCATGAGGTTTCAGATTCTTCTCCCTGTTGGGTTTATGGTTAAAAGGGCAATGTTCCTCTATTGATTCCTAACACTCATGTAGCTTTTATTTTTACTACTCAGTGGAGTCACCCCATTGAAAACCAAGTTTTAATTATAAGGCCTGGGATGGTTCCATTTCCTTTTGTGTGTAACTTTCTTAACTGATGATAACATTGTTTTTCGAGGATTGAGACAAATTTGGAAGTGTATGGTTTTACAGATGAGACATCCTGATATTTTCTAAGAGTAATGAACTCCACTTATGTTTTCAAATAGCTCAGAAGTTTTCATTTGTTCATTGTATCAAATAGCACTTTTTTGGGGGAAAAAAGGAATTGGATATATTAACCTACCGTGCAATGCTTTAATGCATTAAATAGAGAAACATTTTCTGGTTGTATGGGTGGTGAACTGCTTACTTTTGAGCCAATTGGTAAACTTATGTTTCTGGTTTCCCTGTGGGGGTCTACTTGTGAATCTTTTGTGTAGTTTGAAGGGCATTTTTTACTTCTGAATTTGTTCTCCTTAAATTGAACAGGTGGCCCTGGTAGTGGAAAGGGCACCCAGTGTGCAAATATTGTAGAGCACTTTGGCTACACCCATCTAAGTGCTGGTGATCTTCTTCGAGCAGAAATAAAATCTGGTTCTGAAAATGGGTACAATCCCTTATTTTCTGGCTATTTAATTTTCTTCAACATTTGTCCTGGACAATCAGCAATGGAATGTATAGGATAAATCCTGATTTGCTGTCCTTGACTAGCATCATTATTGAAAATATCCAACTCAAGCTAGCCAGCAAATAAAATGAACTCTTGGATTGCCATCCTTGTACATTTAGCACGCCTGAAATGTGGAGAGTCAACATCTAATGGTTTACATCATTGCTATAGGCTAAAATCGTGGTTGGATGGATTATTCACTGTTTTGATTCTGTAATTCTTCAGCAAAACAAAGATAAATGGGATCTTAGCATATCTTTGTGATGCTTGAATTTGTTTACTATGCAAGACAGATTCATGTCTTCATAACAAGCTCCTGTAGGATTCCATTTCCTTTTAATATACCTTTGCTTATAAAACTTTATTGCAAATTAGTTCTGAATCGTGGTGTGAGAGGACTATGTCCTTGTGAACACTAACTTGGGTCTAGTACCTACTTAATGGAAGTCTATGTAAGTGGTTCAGTCTTTTGAGAGGGGGTTTCATGGTGGCTGCAGAGATCTGAGAGCATTCCCAGCAGAAATTTTTATTGATCTGGGTTTTCTCCAGGATCTCTCATCTTTATAGTATTTTCCTTTAGGCTTGGCCACTGATTCCTCACATCCAATATTTAGTGTCTTCCATTTGATCTAGTATGCATCCTATATTAAATGCCTCAGATGCATTTACTCTTACATGTGTTGTATGTGAATGTAAAGGTTTAATTCTTTACAGAATCTGGATGTTTATCTATCTATTGAATGCCAGTTTAGATTTTGTTCCAATAAGTTTTGGGTTCTGATCTTTTGTTGAATTCCTTATTTTTGCCCTTGCTTCTAAACTTTTGGTTCTCTCATAATCTATAGGACCATGATTCAGAACATGATTAAGGAGGGAAAGATTGTTCCTTCGGAGGTAACAATCAAGCTCCTCCAGCGAGCAATGCAGGAAAACAACAATGACAAATTTCTAATTGATGGTTTTCCTCGTAATGAGGAAAATCGTGCGGCATTTGAGTCCGTTGTAAGTTTTGTATGCAATACTTTTTGAAGTCTGACTTTTGCTGGCTTTGTATAATCAAGTACAATTTTTTGGTGTGTAATTGCCAGTTCTGATACTTCCATTAATATTCAAGGATTCCTTGCATTAATTGCTAAGAATTTAATGGTTGACAGACTGGTATTGAGCCAGAATTCGTTCTGTTTGTTGATTGTTCGGCAGAGGAGATGGAGAGGCGCCTTTTGAGTCGTAACCAGGTTAGATTAATACCCTTTTTTTGCTCTGAGATTTCTTAACCTCTTTCTGTTTCTTTTAATGTTTCCTGTTTTGGAGTTATTTTATCCTGTTTTTTCATTTTCTTTGACACTCTCTTTGGGACAATGAAGGGAAGAGAAGATGATAACATTGACACGATAAGGAAGCGATTTAAGGTTTATATGGAATCCAGTCTCCCTGTGATTGAGTATTACAACTCTAAAGGGAAGGTTCGGAAGGTAATAATCTATTTTCTCTTTTTACAGTGCTCCTGCCTTTGTATCACGGACTCTGATGTTATTTCACCCTCAGATTGATGCAGGGAAGCCTATTGGAGAAGTTTTTGAAGCAGTCAAAGCTGTTTTCACCTCCCCGAATGACAAGGTAGAGCAATGTAATGCTTCACAGAAAGTAAAACGATCTAAGTTAGGTTTGTTTGCACGGAAAGAAAATTCTGGAAAATGTCTTCTATGCTGCTTTTGGATGAAGTGTGGATCATCTTGATGATAACCGCAGGATTCTTCCATACTTTTAACACAAACTTAGATGCTTAAACATGCACCTCGGATGTATGGATTTGCAAGGGACCTCAGGTCCTACTTAGTTAATATCATGTATGCCTGTAAGCACTAGATATATATGAAGTGAATTTACTGCATTTTGAAGAAGAACTAGTTTGTTTCAAGTCAGCAGCTTCAGCATCCTGTCAATCGGTGTCTCCACATTGCAATGATATCTACCTCAAGAAAAATTGCTTTTTTGCCAGTGTGAACATAATAATGAATGATTCTTAGCTGCTGATAATAACTTGGGCTTGGCAAACTAATATAAAGCTTCATGGATAAATTTGGGAAACATTCAAGAATGGATACGCATGTGGAACCAATGCTTGTTAGTTGAATTGAGAAATTGTAGAACTTGCATTGATCAGAATGAGTAATTTGTCAGTTATGAACTATGCATTTTGAAATGAGAAGCAATTCTGTGTTCACCAAAATAGAAAGGTGATTTGGGAATTTCGATGCCTCCTTCCCCATTACAATTACTTGCTTTACTTGGTGTGCCCCATCCATTTCTCTTGACAAGTCTGTGGAAGCCTTTTTCCCCCTGGTTGTCAAGTAGTTGGAGAATTTTATAAATTAGAAGAGCGTAAATGGCAGGCATTACTGCAGTAATGTTGTGTTGCATCTTGTGATTGGTTTTTGACAAAAAATTAAAAATGAAAAAGCAATTTTTTTAAGAAATTTCTTGACAAAAAAAAGAAGAGGTGCCCTTGAATTGTGCAATCTGTGATGTCTGGAGCCACGTAAATGGTATATGTTGCAGGCTGCTGCATAGATGGTCAACTTGCACCTGTAACCAAGAACCATCCCAGTTTTATCTGAGATAAAACTTTGTTAATAAAATTGCGAGTTGTATATATTCTATTGACTTCAAATTTTTATTTGATAATATGTTTGGAATTTGACATAGAAACCATTGTCCTGGATTGCAAAGTTCTATCATTTGTATTTTGAAATACTCATGGCTCTCTCTCTCTCTCTCTCTCTCTCTCTCTCTCTCTCTCGTGTGCAGGAGCTTTAAGTTGCCCGCATATCATTGTCCTATGTCTACAAGTCTATGTGCATGGTGTCCGATCCTTTCTTTGGCGCTCACTTTAGAAGGTTAAAGTTTATTTTGTTACAATTATTTTTTGAACGAGGAGGTTAAATTCTAAGTGATGAGGTTGCCGCCTCTTAATATCATGTATAGTTAGGTGGGAATCTTGATGGGAATACATAAAATGTTTTATTATAGCAATCATGAAATGCTTTGTTGATTCCTTATTATTGTAATCATGATATTCTTTCTCTTTCTCTCTCTCTCTCACACACACACACGCAAACACGCACGCACACACACGCGCACTCGTGCGCACAGTTTTTCTAAGAACCCACGTTAATATGAGGTAGTTGATTCACAGAACTGTATTTGCAGCCCTGTTCAGGCTGCAGGTTATCAGCCTGTAATTTTTTATGCAGATGTCCACAACCGAAGATCAATGAGTACACATGCTGAGCTCGGGCGAAGTTTAAAGTGGTTACAAATGATTTAGGATCACTGAGAAAGCAAGTACTCTGAGGCACAGACAAGAAGAAAGTTTTCCTGGAAACTTTATTAATGGAATCAACTGTTTATAGATTGGTCTGCAAGGTTGTGTCTGGTTTGCGTATTAGGTTAGTTCAGTAGTCGAATAGAAGGCATAACATAAACTTGTATGTCTTAATTCCGAGTTCCTATTTGTATGATACCTTGATTTAACTTATCAATTGTGGTTTGCGGGTAATTACGAAATATCTGAACTTTTATAAGGCACTTGTCGATCCAAATGATGTGTGGTTAGAACGATTGAATGATATCATAAAATCATGGGATACATTAACTACAAAATCAGTGTATTAAACATTGTTCATACACGTTAGGAACACGGCACGATATTAACCCAATTATAAACGAGTATAAATGGGTTGGGTATAGATTATACAAATTTTTATTCTCCCATAGTGTAGCCACAAAAGTATTACTTTCAAACTAATATATTTGTGAAAAAAATTATTTTTTGACCTCCTAAATTATGAAAAAATTAGAATATAACAGTAATATTGTGTTATCATTGTTGCATGATAATACCGTTTAATAAAAAATTAGCGTAAAGGCAAGTGGATCCTACTTAATTTAGTAATTACCCTATTCATATATGAAAATAACAATCAAGTAGGGTTCACCTTGCTTTATTATTAGATTTTGATATTATATCACAATAGTGACGTGAGATCCCCGTTACTCCCAAAATTTACTCATAAATTATGGCCTTTGTCTCACATTATCTTTCAACTATTACATTTTTTTTATTATACCTTAAACTATTATTTTTAATTTTAAATTATCTCAATAATTAATATTGGTTATAAGTTTAATAGCAACCTATTTCATTTTGCACTTGAAAAATATGATTTTGATTCACCTTGTCCTCGCTAAACAAACAAGGTATAAAATGGATCCCACGTACTATTTTCCTAATTTCACTCTTATCCCAAAACAAACTAGCCCCAGGGAAAGAGAACCCTTAGAGATGGTTCGTCATTCCCCTTAAATGTCAGTTATTATTATTTCTCATGGGACATTTTAAGCCCGTTTAGGCTACGATGTCTTGAGAAAATAGTCCACGTAAATTTGAATGTCCTATAACAAAAAAAAAAAAGGTAAGCTTATGACTGAGAGTTAATTTAATTAGGATAACATATAGTTTTAGTTCTCAAAGTATGAATGTAACGTCTATTCGGTCTCCAATTTTTTAATTGTGAATTTAGTATCTAATTTTTTTCTATGTGGTCTCATTTCAAACGTCTGTCAAAAAATTATTAACGCCTCTGGTCATGCGCCAATCACATGGGACCAAATACACACAAATTAAAAGCTTTAGGACTAAATAGACAAAAAATTAAAAACTACATGATTCATTTATGACCAACAATTTTTTAACGGACATCTTGGATTCGATCACGTAGATACAAATTAGAAATCTTAGAGACCAAATAAACAAAATAGACTCTATATATATATATATATATATATATACTTTGAAGACTAAAAATATATTTTAACAATTTAGTTAAGAGAGTCAAAATATAATTTTCCTTTTTTTTTTTCCCACTTCTCTTCTGATCTTTTAAATCAACCCTGTGGCGCTCGTGATTGTTCTTTCTTCCTGGAACATGAAGTTTTTGGATCGTAGTATGTGGTTGGGTTTGCTCGACAACAAATCAAAGAGAACCATTCAAATTCCATACACACACACATTCTCCCTCTAGTAATTTTCGGATTCTCCAAGACATTAGGAGGGGCACCATCTTTGGGAATATGTCAGCTTTTGCTTCTTTTCGTGTATTCTCTGACTTTGTCACCAAGACCCACCTCCACACTACACCAATTTGCAGAAAGAATTCCTCTATCTTCGCTTCTGTGCCTACCCAGATGTCCATTTCATCAAATTCCCACCCACTACAAAGGTAATTCTTTATTTCAATCTCTTTCTTTCTTTTTATTTGATTCTGTGTTCTTAGTTCTTTTTCTTTTGGAATATCTTGATTCACGGACAGCCATTCTTATTTGGATGATCATTAGCCAGATGATTGGTGTTCTTGCACATACCCACCATGGAAATGGTTAAGTTGATTGGTATTTTTGTGCGTTTTGGTGCATTTTTTGTATTTTAGTTAACAAACATGAGGATTTGTTGATGTTCAGTTAGTTTAAGTTCATCGTAATTTATGCTTAAATTCCAATAATTGAAAGCGAAATCCAAGCAGTGTGATGTTATTACTGACTCTATTGATATTTTTAGGATTTTGAATCAGAGATTAGTTTTAATGAAATACCAAATCCAAGTTAGAAACGGGGAAACACATATACGGATACTGATATGGATAAGATAAAGATTTTACGTTTATTTAATGACTCAAAATTTAAAATTTTTAATAATTTTTTAACAGTAGTAAATTTTTAACTTAAAAAAGATGTAATATCGTCTCATCATGATATATTCATTAAATGTGCGTGATCAATTAAAAGAATCAGAATCATATTTAATTAATTGGTTTGTTTAGAAGTATTTGTTTTTAAAATTCTAGTGTAACTAACACATTTTTTTATTCTCTTTTGACATGTAATAGTATAACATTTAAAAAAAACTTGTGTCTTCAAAATCAGATGAAATTTAGTTGATATTTTGTATTGTATGTGAACTCGAAAATTGCGGGTATAGATTACCATTAAAAATTGTACATCCTGTACCATATTTAGAAATCGGTGAAGTATCCACCAATTTTATTAATTATCGAATACGTATGATGCATATTCGATTCGTATTCTCGAATATATTTGATAAATATCATATTCGATACGATATTTGATACGAGTATGTCGACCTTAACAAAACAAAGTATATGTGATTCATAGGTCGGAAATAATGGAAGGCAGAGGAAGAAGAATTGACAACCTAATTGTACTCTTGGCAGCAGCTGCAATGCACAGCAAAACTAATCATTCTTTATAATATTTCATTTAACGTATTAGGTCACTGCATTAATCTTCTACTAGTGACAATGTGACATAGTCTCTGCAATTTAATGTGTGTGCAATGTATATGAGAAACTTTTTTGGTGCGGTGTTGATCATGAGTGAGAGAGAGAAAGGTGAAGCAAATGTGTGAGAGAGAGACGGTTATAAAAGAGAGACATGAGAGAGTCATGGGAGATTAGGTACTTAATAGTATAGATTAGATAGTCAAACCTATCCTCTCCAGTAGATGTGAACAGTTCCCGATGGCCTCTCATGTTTGATTGTGGCCTGTCACCATAATGTTAGTTTCATAACAAAGAACTCAACAAATGTATGAAAATTCCATGTCATAAGGTTGTGCACCAGAGAAGCTATATGTTGCAGGCAGTTACATGCTGTTGCACTAACATGATTTTCATTTTCTCACTGCAGCAATTGTTCACTCTCTTTTGTTGCTCCTTTGGAAGCAATACTATTTGATATTGATGGAACACTATGTGATTCAGATCCTCTTCATTATTACGCCTTCCGTGAAATGCTTCAAGAGGTTGGTTCTTTTCTTTCCAATTTGTATATATTCGCATGCCATGCTACTCATATTTTGTGCACACTCCATAAAAAGGGACCAACTAATATAGAAAGTGCACACAGGTAGGTTTTAATGGAGGAGTTCCAATAAGTGAGGAATTCTTCATTGAGAATATTAGTGGTATGCATAATGAAGAACTCTGTAATGTTCTCTTTCCATACTGGGATCTCCAAAGAGCCCTGAAATTTATGGATGATAAGGAAGCAATGTTTCGCAGGTAAACACAAACCAGATAAGTTTCATTAGTCATGCAGGGTGATGAATATGTAATGTAGTGTGTGTTATGGGGCATGTTGTTCCCAATACCTGTGTTTTGCCCCATACTCCGTAAGGGTCCAAAGCTTTTGGACCTGAACAGTAGGCTGAACAGGTTTGAGTCTCATGACTAACTTCTATGATGATTTGTAGCCTTTGTTACAGGTACTCACCATTCTCAGGTCAACTCGAAATATACAGTACTTGGGCAATTTTCAAAGATTGTTTTGGGCTTGGGTAAAAGAACCCAAGCCGATTTGAATTCAAGTTATGTTATAGGTAGTCAAACCCGAAACCATTTTCAACTCAAGGTGTGTAACTGGAGTTCTAACCGAATCATAACCAGGTTCGGATTGGGTGTGAATAACCAGGTTCGGATTGAATTTTGGGTTCTGGTTGAGTTCTGTTTGAGAGTTTTAAAATTTGGGTTGAGCCTGGATTGGTCTCAAAACCTGCCTCATCTGCCCAAGTTGCAGCCCTAGTACATTTTTTCTTGTGTGGCTCTTGCATAAACTGCGTTGATTTTTGCTGTTTTTCATTAGAGAGTAGGAAGTACCACTTTGAGAGTACCCAATATCTAAGATCCAATGTATGGTTTGAATTATGAGAACAATCTCATGCATTTTCTATTTAATCATCTATACAGGTTGGCTTCTACCAAGTTAAAACCTGTAAATGGCCTTGACAAGCTGTGCAAATGGATAGAAGATTGTGGCCTGAAAAGAGCTGCAGTTACCAATGCTCCAAGACCAAATGCTGAGCTGATTATCTCAATGCTAGGCCTTGCAAGTTTCTTCGAAGTGCTTGTCATTGGGAGTGAATGTGACCGGGCAAAACCTTTCCCTGATCCTTACTTGAAGGCTCTACACGCACTCAAAGTGTCTCCTAAGCATGCGTTTGTGTTTGAGGTTTGGCTTACCCATTGTTAATGTGCTTTGTAGAAAAACACATTGTGGCTGTTAAATGATTCGAGTTGCCTTGCTTGGTTTGTCTAGGCTAGTTCAAATGGGAAAATAAACCAAAATTCATCATATTTTTAAGTTCATCGTAATATGTTTTGAAGCGGCGTGTGGCTCATGCTCGGCCAGCCACAAAGGATCCGCTCTCAACATACTTAAACTCGTCAAGTTCAACTTGATTAACACTCCCAACCCACGTATTGTAGGTGACATTTTGACTTTGATGGAAGTTTTGAGATATTGTGTTTCCTTGTGCTGGTCAGGATTCTGTTTCTGGAATAAAAGCTGGGGTGGCGGCCGGGATGCCCGTTGTAGGTGTAGCGTTAAGGAACCCTGAAGTATTACTGGCCGAAACTGGGGCAACTTTGGTTATCAGGGATTTTGATGAACTAAAGCTGTGGACTTGTTTGGAAGAGCTAGAGAGGAAGACAGAGGAAACCAAAGTCACAACTTGAACCTTTAATAGCTTCTATACTGTTCTGTTGCCTGGTGGATATTTATGGATCATACTCTTTATTGTTTTTCCTGTAAAGCTCAAATTCAACATCAATGAAACTCATTTATTTACCCCAAACAAAATGTGGGGTGTCTAGAATACCCTGAGATTCGGGTTTGGGATAAAAAAAAAATTGGAAATAAATTTACGCGTATTGAAGGAATGTGAAGTTTGGAAATAGTACAATTCCTTTTGTCATGTATTCTCGATTAATGCCACCTCATATGCTAATCATTTAATGTACTCTTTGATGGATTTTGACAATGTTTGGTTCGTTCAATTTGTTTTAGATTAAAGTAATATTCAGAATATCGATCCCTAGTTCTAAGTGAGATAATGTAATATAGACTTACTAATCCAGTAGCAACACTCCCATCAGAAGCGAGTCTCGATTAGAGAAAGCCATTGTGCAATAGCTTAGCTAGCTAACGTTTTTCAGCTGGCTGAATGCGCTTTTTCTCACTTCGGAAGGATTTAACAATATTTTCTTATGATGATCTGGTTGAGAGAATCCATATCCATGGAAACCAAATCAACTTTTGCTACAAACAATCTCGATGCTAATTCAAATTATAAATTTTCCAACAAAAATAAAGCATACAACCGTGTTCTTGTTCCTTGAAACTTTTTAAGATATCCCACAAGATTCCTGCTTCCACCAACATATAAGGCCACTTGCAATCCTTGTCAAACCAATACTTGTCTCACTTTGTTGCCTATAGCGTAATCAGTGAAAGTTTTTTTCCAACCTTATCGTGGATAGAAAAAATTACTGGAGAAATATGCTTCAATTGTCGTCTAAACTTCCCTGGTTTTCAAACAATCAGAACTCCAATACTTACGAAGCTCAATAAGAAACAAGATGAATCCAACAATAGCGAAATATAAGACAAGTTCATGAGCCCTCTTTCAAAATCCACTCAAACAATCATCACCAAGAAGAACCATCGTGAGCACAATTAGCATCAGATTGTTCTTTCTTTACCTTAGCATCATCAAGATAGTTCTGATACATATAAGACACAAAACCCCAAAGAGCCATTAGCAAAGCAATTACCTTTACCCCATTCATCTTGTCATGAAACACTATGACAGCTACAATAGGCGTAAGAGTCAAGGAAAAAGTACTGATAACATTAGCGAATAGAGAAGACACAACAAAAACCAGGCCAACTATACCAACAGAGGAAACCTGCCAAGCCACAGCTGCCCACACCAAGGTCATCACATAAGAAAGTTTGCCAGTACCGTAACCATTCATGTCGTCCTGTAGAGTTCTCCATTCGCCACTTGCAAAAAGGCCCACGACGGATGCACAAGTAGCTACAACTGAGGTATAAATTAGCATTTCCAAAACCAATGAAAATGTTTTGTTTTTCAAAACTTTCTCAAATGAAAGCTGCATTAGGGAAAGTAGAAGAGAGTAAAGAGCGGAAGCCCCAAGGGTACATAGAAATCCAAGAACATAATTTATCTTAGACACTCCCGAAGGTCCATCAGAATCATTGACACCAATTAGAGAAGCAGAAAATGAAAGGACAACAACAGAATTAAGAAGTAAAGCAGTGAACTTCTCATGATTGATGATGAGAGAGAAAACTGCATTAAAGGCTAATTGTGTAGCACAAATGACGGAGTAAGTAGAGGCTGGGAGGTACAGTAGCCCAACAGAATACAACATGTTATCCCCTGCATAGAGAATACCAAGACCTAAGTAGACTAATGAAACAGTTGTGATAGAAGGCCCGTGAGACGCAGATGAAGGTTCTTGGGATGATGACGCGACAAGAAAATATGGGATTAGTAGGACAGGGAAAGCAGCTGTTTGAGAAAGCGTAACCATCCATACACAATTTCCACCATGATCGTAATAAGATCTCCCTAGAAGAACAGCAGAAGCTTGACCAGCAAGAAGGAAAAATATGTTAAGAGCCATCAAAAACCACCATTGCCAGAGCTTAAGCTTGATCAATGGTGGTTCATAAAATAAAGTTCCATCGTCTAAAAATATCTCTTCTTCGTTATCTGCAAGTGGAAAAATAGAGAATATGCAAAAGCAACTTTAATATTCCTCTGAGAAATAGGAAACAATCAACCAATTCAACATTTATTGTAGCATCAGTTAGTTCTATACAGATTAAGTTCCATCAATTTTGATTGTAATTGCCAAGACCTAAAAAAACATGCCCAACTAACCAAGATAGAACACAGAAACACTGTTCTGGAGCCATGATGTGGGAGTAAAAGTGTGAATTTTTTCCTTTTTTTTTTTCAAGAGATGAGGTTAGAACCCGCAATCACCAACATTTTGAAGTGAGCCCTTGGGCCACTCCTCACCACATAACCCCTTGAATTAACAGTCGATCTTGTAAGAAAATATATTTATCCAGAATTATCATATTATGCAAAGGTCTAAAAATTTAATCTTATTCTCATCCATTTGCTTAAGAACCATAGACAACAACAACTTATTCTATATCAAAATATTCTTGTTCAGAATTCAAATAAAAGTGAAAATTCAGAAACTTTAAAGAATAACAGAAATTCCAAGTCATTCATGCATGTAGTCTTTCACATATATATACGAAGATTGAACAAAACCCAGTTGTAAAATACTCCTATACTGGACTGTACTTGAAAATTTTCCAAGAAACCATTAGTCTAAGGTCAAGAAATCCTAAAACCCATGTCTTCGTAATCTGGCAATGGACCACAAAAAAATCTCTTATCCCTTCATTCAGCTTCCAATATTACAATCAATAACGTTTTTATATGAAAATATGAAAGCCCAATACATGAGTTTATTCTGGAAAAAAAAATGTGTGATTGTGTCTGTTACTGTGTGTGTGTGTGTGAGAGAGAGAGAGAGAGAGAGAGAGAGACCTGGCATTTTTGGCGTCAAACAAGAAAACCTGCAAAACAAAGGGGCGATTGCTAGTTGTCAAAGAGTTGTTTGGTGAACGTGGGGGGAGCGGCTCCTCTGCTGTTGGTAAGGAACGGCACATGGTGCTGTAATTGCTGATAGTCAAAAACGTCCCCGTTTTGGTTGTTTTGCACCGCGAGTAGTGCTACATAAAAATAAAACTTTGACGTAATTATTAACTTAATGATGTTATTTTATTATAATTATTAAATTAACACCAAATTCTAATATTTAATTGGACCCACAGTCAATTCAGTAATTATAATAAATTAGATTAACAAATTAGATTCTAATAATATTGAATTACTCTTTTTTACTATGTTTCTATTGAATTACTCTTATTCTTTGAGAATTGTGAAATTTTAAATGTTGAAAAATATAAATTATTTTTGAAAGTATATCTCTTGCAATGAGATTGATGAACTAGAGTTATATGCAGACCTATATTGTAGAGTGTTTAAATATGTTTTTTTCACATTGAAGGGTTCAAAGGTGGTCTAATCACTTGCAGTGAGGGTGGTGTCTTGCGATGACCAAACTATTATTCATTTATGAAAAATCAAAGCCGAGGGTTAGTATACCATAATCTGATGTGTTACTGGTACTGATGCTTCAGTATACGTCATTTCTAAAGTTTGTTACCTTATGCGATGTTAGTTTTTGAGAATGTGGAGTTTTGTGGGCCAAATATATTTGTTATGTAAATTCTTGTTTATTTAGCCAGTGTACATGAGATATTGTGTTATAAAATATGATTTTATGAATAATTCAATGCTGATCCAAAATTTAGTGTTCCTATTACATAAACTTGAGATTGTTACTTGATTATGTTTTAATTCCAAATTATATATGTTATTTTACAATGTGTGACTTTATTTATTTTCATGATTGCTAAACATTGTTTAGGGTTAAAAATGTTTTTTTATTGGGTTTTTTTGCTCATCCTATAATATAAATATTTTTTTTTCTTCAATTTTTGATAATGTCTCAATATGATTTTATGGCTTTACAGAACGAAATTAACCTCTACTCTCAAACAATTTCGACCAGGGCTAACGCGATGGATAGGCAATTTAGGTATTTGCCTAGGGCCCAAAATTTTAGAGAGGCTTAAAAAAATTATCACTTTAGTGTAGTAGGCTTAATTTTTTTTTTTTTTGAGTTTTAAATATGATTCAAATTTTTAGGGCCTAAATTTTAAGAGTCCAAATCAATATCTAATTTTATTAAGTCTAAAATTATTCTCTACTTAGTTAAGCCCAATAAAAGCCTATATATATAAAAAAAAAAAAAAAACATGTACTTAAGCTTATTTGCACATAACCCCTTATAATTTTTTTGTGGGCTAGTGATGCATCTAAAATTATGAGATCTAAAGCCCCTGTTTTTTTTTTTTCATACTGTTGGGCCAGAATTAATGATTCTTTCATTCGAGTTACCACGTAGTAAGGGTTATAAAACTTTTTTTTTTCTCAATTTTTTGTCCTTTTGTCTTTCTTGTTTTTACTTTTGTGTCAATAATTTTTTAAAAATTATTTTGATTGTGAATGAAGAGATAAGATAAATATATTCCATTTTTAGGCATTGGTGATGATATTGTATTAATGGAGTTGTCAATGTGTATTAATTATATTGAGGTTTTGGGAAAAAAAGACTAATTTTGTTTTTATATATGATATTAAGCATAACATGACCATTCAAACGCTTTGCAAAGATAAAGAGATTTGCATGTTAGGGATTAGTTTGATATTTAAATATGCAGGGATATAATGGTAATGTAAATATTTAAATACAAAAGGATATGTTAGCTTTGATAGTTTTTTATAAGGGTAAAATAGTGAATTAAAAATTTTACATGTTAAAATATTTTTATTAGTAGTATAGATATAGATATAAATATAATATTACAATAATCATGAATGTGAGGTGGGAGAGTTTCGGTGGGTGGGTTTCTTTAAGGAAGGGAGAGAGGGTTTTTAGAGAGAGAAGGGTTGACATAGAAGGAGAGTATTGAAATAAAAATCGAATGGCTAAACGAGGGTATTTTGATATTTTTATAAATTCAATAATGTCCATCTACAATGATAATTTATTTTAAAGTTGAGGGGTGTAATACAACAGCTAAAACTACAAGGATGTCACATGTAAATGATCCAAATTACAGTGTTTTATTTTTTGCATTTAACCCATAAAATTAAAACCGTTAGTATAAATATGAAATTTGATTCATTTGTAAGTCTAAAGTCTGTCTTCAACTCTCTTTCTCAAAGTCTCACTCTCAACGTCTATCATACGTTCTTGGTTTGAAAAGGGCCATTGGAAACAGTATAGAGTGCGGCACATCTGTAACACAAACTCAAGAAGTCTCCACCTCCACCCGAATATCCTCTCCACTGTCGGTTGGTTTTCACTCTCTCAAATCCTTCCTGTTGTTTGATTTTTATTTTTGATTTTGAGTGTTATGCGGGCAAATTTGATGCATGCACATACCCATTTCGCTTTTTGTGAGTTTTGATTTAAATTTTTCTAGTTCTTTTGGTGTGTTTATGGCTGTATTGCTCTGATTAACATAGAATATTTATATAACATTATTTCTTGTAGTGAAAATATATAAACTTAATTCCTAAATCATCTATGTCTTCAAAGTTTTGTACTACAAGCATGCGCATAACTCGTGGGTAAAAAATGATTCTTTTTAAAGTTTTTACCTTGGGAATTGGTCTACCTCGGGCTGCCCAATCTTGATGCTAATTCAAATTATAAATTTTCCAACAAAAATTAAGCATCCAACCGAATTCTGATTCCTTGCAATTTTTGCTTGCCATTGTCCTTGTTTTGGCGTGAGTTTCTTCAGGGTCAAGAAGTCATTAGTTGTCACATTATCAGTATTGACCACAAATCGTGACGCGCCCCCACTTTCTCAAGTATGACCTAACATAGATTTGTTTGAAAATAATCACGGTGGCGTTCATTCAATCAAATCTTTTAGACCAGTCCAAATTGCATATATCCTCGAGTTCATCAATTTTCTTTCTCCCTGATAGAGGAAATATTATCTGCCTGTTGGCAATTCTAAAGACCTATGCATTCTATTTTTGCGGTGTGTTCTGTTTACTATTCTTTCGTACTTTCTTCTCTTTACCACGCAATAAGTCCCACAAGGCTCCTAATTCCAGCAACATATTGTGCCACTTGCAATCCTTGTCAAGCCAATACTCGTCTCACTCTGTTGCCTATAGCGTAATCAGTGAAAGCTGTTTTCCAACCTTGTCGTGGATAGAAAAAATTACTGGAGAAATATGCTTCAATTATCATCTAAACTTCCATGGTTTTCAAACAATCCGAATTCCCATACTTACGAAGTTCAATAAGAAACAAGATGAATCCAACAATAATGAAATATAAGACAAGTTCATGAGCCCTCTTTCGAAATCCATTCAAACAATCATCACCAAGAAGAACCATCATGAGCACAATTAGCCTCAGATTGTTCTTTCTTTGCCTTAACATCATCAAGATAGTTCTGATACATATAAGACACAAAACCCCAAAGAGCCATTAGCAAAGAAATTACCTTTACCCCATTCATCTTGTCATGAAACACTATGACAGCTACAATAGGAGTAAGAGACAAGGAAAGAGTACTGATAACATTAGAGAATAGAGAAGACACAACAAAAATCAGACCTACTATACCAACAGAGGAAACTTGCCAAGCCACAGCTGCCCACACCAAAGTCATCACATAAGAAACTTTGCCAGTATCGTAACCATTCATATCCTCCTGTAGAGTTCTCCATTCGCCACTCACGAAAAGGCCCAAGACGGATGCACAAGTAGCTACAGCTGATATATAAATTTGCATTTCCAAAACCACAGAAAACGCTTCGTTTTTCAGAACTTTCTCAAATGAAAGCTGTATTAGGGAAAGTACAAGAGAGTTAAGAGCAGAAGCCCCAAGGGTAAATAGAAATCCAAGAACATAATCTGTCTTAGAGACTCCCGTCGGTCCATCAGAATCATCATAGACACCAATTAGAGAAGCAGAAAATGAAAGGACAACAACAGAATTAAGAAGTAAAGCAGTGAACTTCTCATGATTGATGATGACAGAGAAAACTGCATTAAAGGCTAATTGAGTAGCACAAATGAGGGAGTAAGTAGAGGCTGAGAGGTACATTAGTCCAACAGAATACAACAAGTTATCCCCTACATAGAGAATACCAAGACATAAGTACAGTAATGAAACAGTTGTTATAGAAGGCGGGTGAGACGCAGATGAAGGTTCTTGGGATGATGATGACGACGACAACGAGGACGAGGGGAGAAGAAAATATGGGATTAGTAGGATGGGGAAAGCAGCTGTTTGAACAAGGGTAGCCATCCATACACAATTTCCACCATGATCATAATAAGATCTCCCTAGAAGAACAGCAGAAGCTTGACCAGAAAGAAGGAAAAATATGTTAAGAGCCATCATAAGCCACCATTGCCAGAGCTTAAGCTTGTTCAATGGTGGCTCAGAAAATGAAGTTTCATCTTTTAACAACATCGCTTCTTCGTTTTCTGCAAGTGGAAAAATAGAGAATATGCAAAAGCAAACTTTAATATTCCTCTGAGAAACCAGTTTAATTGTATACCAGTTTGAAATAAAATCCAAGACAATCATATAGAAACAATCAACCATTGCAGCATTTACTTGTAACATCTGTTAGTTCTATACAGATATAGGATGAAAAACAACTTCCATTTCTCCTTGAAAAACTCAAGGAGTGACTGTGAGTTGAGTTCAAAGTCTTTCGGCTTTTTAAAAAATTTCATAGTTTGATAAATAAGTTCAAAAGTATCGTTTTTTGATAAATTTGTTTTAAAATTATCATAAAATAGTGAATAACTCGTCTTAACAATCTGGAGATGGACCACAAAACATCTGTAATCCCTTCATTCAGCTTCCTATATCACAATCA